CCAGCATACCAGTGTTTCAATGCCCAGCCTTCATGCCTATGTAGCCTCCTCGATCAGTCACTTTGTAGTTGGTCACTGGGGTTCATGCAAACATGATTTCTTCTTTCTTTCTTTTTTAAATTAAATTTAAATCACTAAAATTATAGTTAAGTAAAGTTAAGTTAAAGTTAAATACCAATTTGTAGTTCCTACACTATTAGAATAATGCTTTAGTTGCGGCAGAAAACATGATGACCTATCATGACGATCTAACCGCAACCAACGGAACCTTAAAGAGGAAGTATGGAATCCAGTAAGGGACATTCTCGCGATCTCGCATTCTCGCGATCTCGACCTTTGGAAACGAGGTAAATATGCCCAAAACACGAGAATGCGAGATCGCGAGAACGCGAGATTTGGCCAAAGTCTCGCGATCTCGCATTCTCGTGTTTTGGGCATATTTACCTCGTTTCCAAAGGTCGAGATCGCGAGAATGCGAGATCGCGAGATCGCGAGATCGCGAGAATGTCCCTTACAGTATTCCATAAGGAAGCGACTGGGCTCTTGTCTCCTTAATCGAGTTAACAATGGATGGCCTGTTTTCTTGTAGGCTGCAATTAGACGAAATTTGACATTGCATTAATTGGTCCTCGGTATCGAATGAAAAAAATTAGGAGTACATGTAGTTTGTTTGTCATGTAAAAGTTTTCGAGGCGTAGACATGTCTCCATTTGCATTTACATCCGTAATAAAGAACGCTACGCATGCGCAGCTATGATCGCATATAGTACAGATTTGTACGACGTTTTTGACCGCTGTATGTTGGCTGAAGGAGGTAGGCTTGTTCTATGTATAAGTGGTCTCGGTGCTATTGCCCCGCTAAGACAAGACGTCGTGCCCTGTATGTAACTAAGGTGAGGTGAGGTGAAATGGGGTTTAACGTCGCGTCCGAGATTATTGCACTTATATATTGACGTGCATGTACGTGTGTATGTTTGTGTGGCTGCTTGTACTAGTGCCGATTTATAGTGCTAGCTCACTGAGATACCATGCCGCAGTTTAACATGAATACCCCACTCAGACACAGTATACTGACTCCGAGTTGACCAGTGTTTGTTTTAGCCCCTTAATGCCGAGCGCCAGACAGGGTAACAACAAGTACCATCTTTTAACGTCTTTTGGTATGACGTGGCCCGGACCTTCCTCTCTCCGGGCGGACGCTCTACCATGAGACCACGGAGGCGGTCGTATGTTACTAAGACACTGTGTACTGGGTAAATCATGATCAGCTTTACACTTCACAAAGAGTCAGTTTGTAGACAAACGAAGTAGGTTTGCATTAAATCATTTAAACTTGCTAGGACGGCCAATTCCCCGTGTCACGTACCTCGTCAAGCATACGAGGGCGATCATGAAAAGCCTTGGAAACACACAGTCTGTAAAGAATGCAATTCTTATCGGGATCATTTACATCCTAATGATATTTTTTACATACTTTGAAGAGACCATAGGCGAAAGAATCCCAGTAAGCGTATTGCATGACCCATTGTGGACATGTGTGTTAACTTAAGCATAAATACTCCTTGCCATATTGGGTCCATACAAAGCCAGTATCGTTACAATCGATACCTCTCCTCGTGAAGCTAGGTCTGAGGTCACCTCCATAGGAGGTCGTGTCAGGTGGACTTTCTGATCAGCTTCTAAAATCTCGAAATGAGTTAAGCATTCAGACAGTCATATCTGATTTGTGTGTCATATGTTACATATCCTGTCGTTTCTGAGCGCCATTCTATCTATCTACCTACCGTCGAGGTTATGTTTGTGTCCTGTGGCGGTTTTGTTTTGGTAAGATCTAAATTTCCGATTCGAGGTAGTAAAAAAATATAGACATCTTATTGGCTCAAGAACACACGAACCTGACGCAACCTTCTATGGCAGCGTCCTCCTATATTCACGTAACGCGGTATCGTATCTGGAAAGGAAATCTGATTTTGATGAGATTGATAATAACTGATTAATTGAATCAAATTTCTATTCTAAATATGGCCAAAATATATTAAAACTATATTGGCCGTTGTCAAAAAGCACACGGGCCCTTAATGCATCATGATGTACCGTGTTCTTTTCACGCTTCCATCACTTCAATTCGGTTTTCCTCCAAAAGAAAGATGACACACTGAAATACTGTTCAAAGCCGCGTTTAACCCAACTCACTCACTCACTCACTCCTCCCACTTCAAGCCGACACAGTGATATATAGAAGTACTGTTCAAAGCCGCGTTTAACCCAACTCACTCACTCACTCGTCATCCCACTTTAAGCCGACACAGTGATATATAGAAGTACTATTCAAAGCCGCGTTTAACCCAACTCACTCACTCACTCACTCATCATCCCAGTTCAAGCCGACACAGTGATATATAGAAGTACTATTCAAAGCCGCGTTTAACCCAACTCACTCACTCACTCACTCCTCCCACTTCAAGCCGACACAGTGATATATAGCAAAGCCGCGTTTAACCCAACTCACTCACTCACTCCTCCCACTTCAAGCCGACACAGTGATATATAGAAGTACTATTCAAAGCCGCGTTTAACCCAACTCACTCACTCACTCACTCATCATCCCAGTTCAAGCCGACACAGTGATATATAGAAGTACTATTCAAAGCCGCGTTTAACCCAACTCACTCACTCACTCACTCCTCCCACTTCAAGCCGACACAGTGATATATAGAAGTACTATTCAAAGCCGCGTTTAACCCAACTCACTCACTCCTCCCACTTCAAGCCGACACAGTGATATATAGCAAAGCCGCGTTTAACCCAACTCACTCACTCACTCCTCCCACTTCAAGCCGACACAGTGATATATAGAAGTACTATTCAAAGCCGCGTTTAACCCAACTCACTCACTCCTCCCACTTCAAGCCGACACAGTGATATATAGCAAAGCCGCGTTTAACCCAACTCACTCACTCATCATCCCAGTTCAAGCCGACACAGTGATATATAGAAGTACTATTCAAAGCCGCGTTTAACCCAACTCACTCACTCACTCACTCCTCCCACTTCAAGCCGACACAGTGATATATAGCAAAGCCGCGTTTAACCCAACTCACTCACTCATCATCCCAGTTCAAGCCGACACAGTGATATATAGAAGTACTATTCAAAGCCGCGTTTAACCCAACTCACTCACTCACTCACTCCTCCCACTTCAAGCCGACACAGTGATATATAGCAAAGCCGCGTTTAACCCAACTCACTCACTCACTCCTCCCACTTCAAGCCGACAAAGTGATATATAGAAGTACTATTCAAAGCCGCGTTGGAAAGCTCGATAACTCAATAACTCTCCCGTCTACCACTCTTGTTTTGAGTCTGTGTGTGAGTAAATACATGTTTTACGCCGCTTTTAGCAATACTCCGGAAATATCACGTGGGACACCAGAGAGCCATTTTGCGCGATAAGCTGGTATTATCACTATAGGATAGTGTTTCATGGATACATTGTCGGAACTGTACATTTGACTCGTAGTTTAACCTTGGCTTATGATTATGTTCAGGTTTGATCCCCCACATGGCTACGGGGCGGTCGGGTAGCCTAGTGGTTAAAGCGTTCGCTCGTCACGCCGAAGACCCGGGTTCGATTCCCGACATGGGTACAATGTGTGAAGCCCATTTCTGGTGTCCCCCGCCGTGATATTGCTGGAATATTGCTAAAAGCGGCGTAAAATCATACTCACTCACTCACTCCCCACATGGCTACAATGTGTGATTCCCATTTCTGATGCCCCTGGGATATAGCTGGAATACTGCTAAAAGCGACATTGAACCTATGTTTTTGTCGCTTGTATTGAAAGATGAAAATATGAAAAGAATTGACTTGCTACACAGCTAACTGTATTGTGTCAGAATACTGAAATTCAAAACTAAAATAGACACTGTCAGGCACGAATGACCCTTGTATGTCAGATGTCGTTACTTTGGACAGCTGACTTTTCCCAAGCTGCCCGGCTCCTTGTGCTAATGGGACTCAAAATAAATAAACTAAAGAATAGACGGGACCATTTTACTTAGCGACAGATGATATTATTTTCACAGGGGTCTTTAAAACAATCGGCTTTTTGTTACATAACTAATGCTTGAATTATAAAAGAAATGTTCTGCTTGACTGAAGAACACGAGTTCGATAAACTCAACCATGTCAGAAATTTGTAAAACCTAAAGAGAAAGCCATGTACCTTAAACATCATGTTAATATGTTTAAACAAAAAAATATAATGTTTTCAACACATGACCCAGAAATGGGCCCTGTAACATGTGTTGTAATCACCCTTTGTGATCACGTGGTTGTGGTGTAATCACTCTTTGCGATCACGTGATTGTTGGGGCCTGACGTTGGAGGTGGAGAACACTCGCGGTTATCAGACAATATTCTTGTTCCGTAATTTTGGTTACAAAGCCAACTTGCCAAGCGAAAATCGAGCATTCAGTTCTATTGTTCATTATTACTGAAGTGAAACTGTATCACAATACTGTGTTTCTCCAGAGAAGTAGTCGCTATGTGGCTGAAATAATGCCGATGCGACGTTAAATTTTAACTCACTCAATCACAGGTGAGTGAGTGATTGAAATTATTTTAGGCCGCAGACTATATCAGGTCTGTCACGACGGCCGGTACATATTGAAGTCTAGACCATATAGAACGACACACATAGGCGGTATTTCATATTCTCTATTATATTATTATTATTATTATTATAATAATTTGAAATCGTTGGTTCTAATCCCAGATTTGTTCCGATTATCATCCTTGGTCCGTCGACACCAGAACCATGCTAGTTTCGTCAAAGAAAAGCACATGTGCGACTTTAGCCTTGCATCACTTATTATAACAGAATTTTCATAGCAGCGTTACAGCACTAACTCACTCACTCACTCAATACTTTTCTTTTACCCACTTTCATTTTTAAACTGTGGTACTGACTATACAGGACTTCCCTTCTTGGTTACAGGATGCCGCTTGTGTGGAGACCATTACAAGGGTGCCCAAGAAAGGTAGGGATGTTTCCAGTCTAATGTTACTTTGTTATCGAGGGAATGCCATCTTCCCGAGGCAAGGGAGTTAACTGACTCTAAAAGTCCAGTTTCAACCCTTGCCGAACTAGGCTGGAATTCCCCGGCTCTAGCATTTCGCCACCAGTGGCTTTTATGAGTTATGTCCCTTCTATGCCTCTCCTGTGGACCAATCAGATTCCACCTCTCCATCACTTGCTTTGCTTCTAACAAAATGGCGGCGCCCAGTCATGACGATCTGATCGATAATCAAGGTCTATATTGTGATAAAACGGGTCTTACATCGCGAAGTGCATCAAATCACGCGAGCACCTTGATTAAAAAGATGAAAAGACACATACATATGTACACACGCACACTCACGCACGCTTACATACACTCGTGAATTCGTGAATGAGTCATCGTGAATAGTCCTGTATCTGACTCGCTTTAGCTCGTTAGATACCAGAACTATTCACTCGCTTTGGCTCGTCAGATACCAGAGAAATTCACTCGCTTTAGCTCGTCAGATACCAGAACTATTCACTCGCTTTGGCTCGTCAGATACCAGAACTATTCACTCGCTTTAGCTCGTCAGATACCAGAACTATTCACTCGCTTTAGCTCGTCAGCTACCAGAACTATTCACTCGCTTTGGCTCGTCAGATACCAGAGAAATTCACTCGCTTCAGCTCGTCAGATACCAGAACTATTCACTCGCTTTAGCTCGTCAGCTACCAGAACTATTCACTCGCTTTAGCTCGTCATATACCAGAACTATTCACTCGCTTTAGCTCGTTAGATACCAGAACTATTCACTCGCTTTATAGCTCGTTAGATACCAGAACTATTCACTCGCTTTAGCTCGCCAACTTTTACGTCCAATAGAATTCTTTCGGCAGATAATCGAGACTGATTATTCTCGGTCGTTGACGATTTGAATTTGATAATATGTATATATATTGTTTTGTTGTCTTTTGTAACCCTAAACGGGTGGCACACTTGTTTTGGTTGTTATAATTTGTAATATTCCATACAGATATGTGAGGCTAGATATAAATACAATATCTGTCTGCCTGTCTGTCTATTACGCCGTACACTCAGTATCCTTATTACGATGTCAAAGATTATTGGTATTTTGTGTTTACACAAAACACGGAACATTGTATAAAGGCGAGATTTACACACAATCCAATTGATACCACACAAAAACAATAACTGCGAGAAATATAACCGCTTTGTTGACAAGTCAGTAGTTGACCTCTTGTTGTCTAATATATCATGTTTACCGTTTATCTGAATTATCCCCATACCCAATTTCCATATTAGGCATTTTTGGGTGTCATCTGTCATTTGATTGGACGAACAAGATAAGGAAATTTTCACATCCAGGAAAATATGTTCCATGGCTGTTGTTTCAATATTACTTCCTTGCAAAAGTGAAGTGCAAAAGTGACCTGATAGAAGATGGGTCAATATGTTTACCACACACTCATGAGAACACAGACAACGGAGTTCGGGTCAAAGAGTTTATTTAGATAGTACCAGTATTTTCCTCATGACTGGCAAGTTTGATGCTTATCAAACCGATTTCTTATTGTCCTTCATGGTTGTATATCTATTGAAAATGTACCTTTCGCTACCAATAGCCATCCACCATAGTCATAAAACCTTCCTAGTTTGTGTCAGCAGTAGTTTAAAGTTTAAGAAGGGGCGGTCGGGTAGCCTAGTGGTTAAAGCGTTCGATCGTCTCGCCGATGACCCGGGTTCGATTCCCGACATGGGTACAATGTGTGAAGCCCATTTCTGGTGTCCCCCGCCGTGATTTTGCTGGAATATTGCTGAAAACGGCGTAAAACCATACCCTCTCACTCACTCATTAAAGTTTAAGAAAATCAAGGTCTGTTGGGTAGCCAAGTAGTTCACGCGTTCGGCCGCCACGATGAAGTCATGGGTTCCATTCCCTGTTAGCTGTATAGGGTGCAATGTGAGACGCCCAATGTTGCCAAAAGCTGTTTAAAACCATTCTCACGTACTTTAGAAAATGAATGAGGATACTTCAGCTCACAACTTATTTAAGCACAGTTATATACACTTGTGCATCATAGCAAACAGTTTGTTGTTTAACGCCGCACTCAGCAATATTCCAGCTATATGACGGGGGTCTGTAAATAATCTGTACCAGACAATCCAGTGACATCATTAGCATCGATCCACGCATTTGGGATTAATGACATGTATCAGCCAAGTCAGCGAGCCTGACCACCCGATCCCGTTAGTCGCCTCATTAACTATTATTTCTGTTACTCGGATGTGTGTTGTATATAGTTGGTGAATAATTATTTCTGTTTGATATTTGAGAATGAAGATAAGGTGAGATGAGGTGAAATGGGGTTTTACGTCGCGATTATTGCACCTATATAACGACGAGCATGCACGCGTCTGTGTGTGTCTGTGTGAGTATGTGCCTGTGTCTTGAACTTGTCCGGACTAATGCCGATTTTATAGTGCTAGCCCACTGAGATACCGTGCTGCAGTTTAACATGAATACCCCACTCACAGCATACCCGGACACACTATACGGACTCCGAGCCAACCATTCCCTCTTTTAGCCCTGTAATGCCGAGTGCCAGGGTAACAACAAGTACCATCTTTTAACATATTTTGGTATGATGCGGCGGGGGATCGACCCCCCGACCTTCCCATCTCCGGGCAGAAGCTCTACCATTAGACCACGGAGGCGGACAAATGAATATTAGAAAGAGTTGTACTTGTTTGTGAATTCGCTTTGCATTTATGTTAGTCTGTAATTTGGAGGCACGGGGGCCCTGTCATATAATTCACCGCAATTCGCTGTGCAGAGTTGCGTCCCTTGGGCACGCCAGAAACCTATGAATGTGGGTTTGAATCCCGGTTCGCCCCGATTATGTTTCTAGGTTTGTCAGCAACATACCCATGCTCGTTGATTTCACCAAAGTTGTAAACGTCTGAGACCTGCATCACTTCGGGCTTTCCTCCCACGTTAAGCAGACGCGTCGTGATAAAACCTGAATACTGTTCAAAGCGGCGTTAAAGCAAACCCACTCACTCACTTTATGTTCGCTCGATTTCAGCACGTCAAATTCGGTACACAGGGACTGCTTAATTTCGTTTGGGGTTTTCTTCATTGAGGAGAGAGTGAGTTGGATTTAGCGCCGCTTTCAGATTGAGTGGTCGGAAAACAGGCAAAGTGATGCAGGCATTAGACGTTTCTCACGGGCATGGTGCTGACAAACCTCGAAACATAATCAGCGCGAATCTAGGATCATAGGTTCACAGGTTCCTGGCATGCCTAAGGGACGCTACTCAGCAGAAGGAAATTTCGGCACATTAGACGACTATATATATTTCCCCTGAAGGCAGGATGTCAAACCCTTCGATCCAGCTCAACCATTCCTCCACGACAATACCAGCATGGGGCTGTGCGGTAAACAAACCACTACACATGCTCGTCTTTGTTCTGTTGTTTGTTTATTTGTTGTTTAACGCCACACTCAGCAATATTCCAGATATATGCCGGCAACTTGTACATTATCGAGTTTGGTCCAGACAAACTTGCGAGTGACATCATGTGCATCGATCCACGCCATTGTGATACGATGACATGCATTAACAAAGTCAGCGAGCCTGAAAATCTGATCCATTTGTCGCCTCTTACAGTACGAATGGGCTGCCTGGGCCTATGGGCCTATATTCCTATCTGCAAACCTCCCGGGTATCTAGGCTTTAAAAGGCCATTACCGGAACACCGAAATACTCAGGTGTAAAAAACCGACAGTGTATAAAGTTAAACCCCCATAGTCCGAAACGCGATTAATGTTAAAAGCATACAAAAGCACACGCTTCGTACATGCTCCGTTTATCTCGAAATTTGGCAACCCGGGAGATTTCAGTGTAGAGGGTACCGGCTTACGGGGGTTCCACTGTACCTGATGTTATTTGTTTTCCAGCGTGTCATCACTTAGCCAAGCCGCCGAGGTGGCCGTCAAACATTGCCTCCAAAAAACATCTCACAGTTCAACAGAAAAAGAGCTTCGTGGAGATCATCTTAACACGTGACAGGGAGCCAGGTATCTGTGAATGTTTCGTTTTTACGTTCTCATTTTCAACACTCTCGGCATTGTGGATTATATAACCCCGCCGGTGTTAAATATATGATCTCCACCTATCTTTATCACCAGGTGGCCTGGTACTATGAACCGTTTCCTCAGATGAATATGCAGCTTTCGTTTTTACTCAGTTCTTATTTTCATTATCACATGAAAGATATGGAAATTAGGAGGCTTTTTGTACGAGTGAGTGAGTGAGTTGGGTTTAACGCCGCATTTAACAGTATTCCAGTTATATCACGGCGTGTCAGCTTAATGTGGGAGGAAAGCCCGAAGTGATGCAGGTCTCGGTCGTTTACCACTTCGGTGAAACCCACGAGCACGGGTATGGTGCTGTCAAACCTAGAAACATAATCGGGTCGAACCGGGATTCGAACCCACAATCATAGGTTTCTGGCGTGCCCAAGGGACGCAACTCTGCACAGCGAATCGCGGCGCCTTAGACGACTGGGCCACCCGTGCCCTCCCCCCTACCCCCTTTTTGTACGACGTTGATTATTCATGCTTCACTGTAAGTGTTAGCTGTTGTGTTCTTTTACTATGACGGCTTTAAGTATCTACATATATACGAACGAACAATTCAGAACCGGACCCTTACATCTCGCTGAGTTGCGTCCCTTAGCCTTGCAAGGTTCCGCTGGCCGATACCAATCCTTGGTCTGAAGGCTGTGTAACCTTGCTAGCGGGTTAATATAAGGTGCTAAACGTCTACATTTGACTTTCCTTCTAGAAGATGCCATGATATAACTAATAGTGTCCAGGGCGACCTTAAACCCAACTTACGAAGTGTTTTGAGACATACCCGCCTGCTAAACCACCCTATTAATGAATACATGTTTTCCCGCCTATTTCTGTTTATTAATGAATATTGTTAAATATAATCTTGCAGGTTCAACGCTGCTACTGACGTTCCATGGACAAGGAGGCCGGCAGTGCCTCAACATCACAACTCCTCGAAACCAGGTACAGCTTCACTGTTGTTGTGTTTTTGTCAAAATCGTTGTATTATTTTGCAGTCTGTTTTATTCCAACTATATTGTGATAGCCTTTGGATCATCGAGTCTTGGCCAGGTAAACCTTCGATACCGAATAACTCTCTTATAATGTGTCAAATACCGCAACACAGATACATCAACAGTGCTCTTCACAGAGCCGATGCGACCCGGAGGGTTATATGAATAGAACGGGGGACATGATTTTCGGAATAGTGAGTGAACGCTGTCTAATTCTGCAATCAAATGCGAATCTGAAAAGCCACTGGCTGATGGTATAAACAACACGAAATGGTGTGTTTTGGGGCCTTTTGGTGGGAAACGTTGATCCAGTTTCCGTGAAGCGAGATATTAGCACTTTTGCGAGATATTAGCACTTTTGGACAGTGTGAATAATTGACGTGTCAGGCTGCAGGAATAAACATATTACCATTAGGGAAGTAACTTTCATAGAGAAGTATGGTTCATGGTTAAAAACGCAATGTAAACAATATTTGCATGTCTCATCAGATCAACTTCATTAAAAAATAATATTACAACAATGTAGCTATAGCTTTGAAAGGATTAATTTAAAAAAATATTAATAACTTAACCACAAAAGATATATCAATGTCAACAGTATCTAGCTGGTAGTATATACCACTATGATTGTGTAAAGCTAATACCCTTGTTTACCCGCCTAATAACAAATGTTTCAGGCAGTCATTGTTGTGAAAACATATTACTTGTTTTGCTTTCATAATATGTCATAACGTAAAGCAGACAAATATATCTGCAAAATATATATGGCAAAGTATGCCGCCCCCTTGGGTGAAGATAAAATAAACTTACGACAGGAATGGTGCTATCTTAGATTTATGACAAACTTAAGATATCTCAGGGCTATGATAGTTTCGAAAATATGCTAGATAGCCTACGATTTCCTTACGATAACTTTACTATAATTTTAGGGCTACGATCATTTCGGAAATCTAGGCGCTGGTTTCTACTCTTATATGTCACACATATTTAAGCTGAAATGTGCCATATTCTCATTCCTGTTTATAAAGGTACCACATGCATATTACAATTTCTTTTACCTTCTGGGTTACACGTGTTATTTAGGACAGTATAGATATTTGCATCAATGGGTAGGTATGTAACACAATTTCTTGATGCTCTGGATCAAAGTTGTAATAATATAGATATTATACTTGGACTTGTGTTTGTGCAGACATACGCTATCACCGACGGCTGGGCGAAGACGAGGCTAAAGTGTCGGGGAGTTCGAATCCTGAAGAAAGGGCTCAAGATCAAACTTTATGATCTCACAAATCGTAGGAGACTCGATTCGCACCGGTTAGAAAAGAGGCGGAAGAAGTTGAAAAAGAAAGCAACAAAAGAACCCCCCGTTAAGTTGGCAGAGGGTAAGTGCAGCTTGTGTGAGTAAGTGTGTGAGTGAGTTTGGTTTAACGCCGCTTTTAACAGTATTCCAGTTATATCGCGGCGTGTCAGCTTAATGTGGGAGGAAAGCCCGAAGTGATGCAGGTCTCGGACATTTACCACTTCGGTGAAACCACGAGCACGGGTATGGTGCCGACAAACCTAGAAACATAATCGTGGCGAACAGGGATTCGAACCCACAATCCTAGGTTTCTGGCGTGCCCAAGGGACGCAACTCTGCACAGCAAATCACGGCGCCTCAGACGACTGGGCCACCCGTGCCCCTGCAGCTTGTGTGCGAGACGTCATGAGCATGTTTGTCTGACAGTGTTTCACCACCTTTTTAATCCTTCAGTGAAAGTCTCGAAGGGTTAGTTAAAATCTGCAAGCTTTTTAGCCATATGGGGCCTGGGTTGGAATTATTGGACCACAGCCGCCTCAGTGGCTGACAAAAAGTGCTAAGTTCGTTTTCAAGAAATACTAGTATTCATTTTGATTGCGATGAACATATCATTGAGTTTTGATCACGGGGTTACAACCTGGGTCAGGTCAGCGCTTCTATGTGGCAGTGAACTTGGTCAATAGCGCTTTAAATACTACATCTGCTCGTTTTTATCTTTCAGTTCGTGCTTGTAATGTACGAAACCGACACATGCTGCTAAATATAGCCTAAATATAGTCACCTGGCTGCCCAAACTTACCCGGATGGTAGGTTATCTCCCATTAGTTACACGTCCCATTTGTCGCACACCTCCATATTCCCAGTTGTTACATAGTTTGGGAGGAGGCCAGGAGGGGACAACACCTAATGAGTAATGGACCAGTCCTAACGTCAACTGGAGGCACTTCAGTTAGCAGAGACCATATACATTAAAGGAACATTCACAAACAAACAAACACTCCCTGTCCTCAAATCCGGGGACGTGTGGTAGGATAATTTCGTTGATGTATCGTTGAGCCGTAAGATTGCCCTGGATATGGACCAAACCTGTCCTGCCATGATGAGAGATATCCGCCCACATCATAACGCTACACCCACCAAACCTGTCCACTTCCTGTACGCAGTTTCCGGCGTAACGTTCTCCCCGACGTCTGTAGACCCGTGCTCTTCCATCGCCTCGACGGAGGAGAAATCTTGATTCGTCGCTGAACCAAACATCTCTCGACACTATAGCACATTAAACGTCTTCATTTTGCACCTCTTGGTCCGCTAATTTTGCTTTTATGACCAAAAGAATCCGTAAAGCGTTTGGTTTTTTTAAGAGTACATTTATAGTACATAAAGCACAGGATTACCTTTCTACTTTTCTTGGATCAGTCCATTCTAATACTAAGGTGACATAGGGTAGACCAGTCAGTGCCTTCAGCCATGACCTATGTTGTTTTAAGGTGTAAGACAAATGGAACGTGTAACTTATGGGAGGATACCGAATGGGATCACGTGATCAAAACTCACTGATGATGTTCATCACTAGTAAAATGGATATTTCTTGAAAAGCGCACTTTGCAATTTTTGTCATTACAGTAAGTAAACTAGAATTCCTTATCGGCAGAATGTCTTGTTTTCACTTTCAAAGTATCAGCACACATGACGCTATCTTCGTTAATGAATCATCGCGAGATTCTATTTCAAGAGTTTATTTGTTGTTTAACGCCGCACTCAGCAATATTCCAGCTATATGTCGGCGGTCTGTAAATAATCGAGTCTGGAACAGACAATCCAGTGATTGACATCATGAGCATCGATCCACGAAATTGATCGATCCCGTTAGTGGCCTTTTACGGCAAGCATGGGTTGCTGAAAACCTTTTCTACCCCATATTTCTTGTGGCGAGGACTATCATATAGGAAATCCACGAACCAGCAAATAGAATTCGATTGAGTGAATGAGTGTTTACACCGAATTTAGCAATATTCAAGCAATATCGGAATGGGCTTAACACACTGTCAGTGTATGGGGAGTCCAACCAGGGTGTTCAGAGTGTTCATAAATACTGGACTACACTTCTTGCCCCACAGGGCGGTCGGGTAGCCTAGTGGTTAAAGCGTTGGCTCGTCTCGCCGAAGACCCGGGTTCGATTCCCGACATGGGTACAATGTGTGAAGCCCATTTCTGGTGACCCCCGCCGTGATATTGCTGGAATATTGCTAAAAGCGGCGTAAAACACACTCACTCACTCACTCACTCACTCACTCTTGCACCACATCAATGTCTCTACTTTGAAGGTGAATCACGTCACGCCCGCACAACCTGCATCTGTGCCATTCCCACGTCTGTGTACCTGAAGCCAGTGTGTGTCTCAGAAGGGAACTACAACGTGACTGTCAGCTGGGAGCCTCTTTACAACAAGAGTGATCTGCGGGTGGGCATCGTACACGAAGGCAACAGCGATGAGTTCGTACCCAATGGTTTTCAAAAGCTCCCAAGTTGGAAGGTGAGAGGTTTTTAAAAAACATTCATCAAACGTGGATTTACTTTAGTGATATGATGCAGTTACGGCCACTGGTATGTCAGTCGTCGTGGTGTTTTATGTATATACTATCACAGTCATTGTGGTGTTATGTATATACTATCACAGTCATTGTGGTGTTATGTATATACTATCACAGTCATTGTGGTGTTATGTATATACTATCACAGTCATTGTGGTGTTATGTATATACTATCACAGTCATTGTGATGTTATGTATATACTATCACAGTCATTGTGATGTTATGTATATACTATCACAGTCATTGTGATGTTATGTATATACTATCACAATCATTGTGATGTTATGTAAATACTATCACAGTCATTGTGATGTTATGTAAATACTATCACAGTCATTGTGGTGTTATGTATATACTATCACAGTCATTGTGGTGTTATGTAAATACTATCACAGTCATTGTGGGGTTATGTATATACTATCACAATCATTGTGGTGTTATGTAAATACTATCAAAGTCATTGTGATGTTATGTAAATACTATCACAGTCATTGTGATGTTATGTATATACTATCACAGTCATTGTGGTGTTATGTATATACTATCACAGTCATTGTGATGTTATGTATATACTATCACAGTCATTGTGATGTTATGTAAATACTATCACAGTCATTGTGATGTTATGTATATACTATCACAGTCATTGTGATGTTATGTATATACTATCACAGTCATTGTGGTGTTATGTAAATACTATCACAGTCATTGTGGTGTTATGTATATACTATCACAGTCATTGTGATGTTATGTATATACTATCACAGTCATTGTGATGTTATGTAAATACTATCACAGTCATTGGGATGTTATGTAAATACTATCACAGTCATTGAGATGTTATGTATATACTATCACAGTCATTGGGATGTTATGTAAATACTATCACAGTCATTGTGATGTTATGTATATACTATCACAGTCATTGTGGTGTTATGTATATACTATCACAGTCATTGTGGTGTTATGTATATACTATCACAGTCATTGTGGTGTTATGTATATACTATCACAGTCATTGTGGTGTTATGTATATACTATCACAGTCATTGTGATGTTATGTATATACTATCACAGTCATTGTGATGTTATGTATATACTATCACAGTCATTGTGATGTTATGTATATACTATCACAGTCATTGGGATGTTATGTAAATACTATCACAGTCATTGAGATGTTATGTATATACTATCACAGTCAATGTGGTGTTAAGCGTATTAGTAGGTGGTGTAATGCTACACTGATATTTCTCAAGAGTGCACGATGCGGGCATTATGTCTTTGTTTATACCTTATTGACCTATGTGTCAATACAGCTTTCGAAATATCTGTTCCAGCTGATAATCCAACATCTTCAGAAAGTCACATTGACGAATCTGAAACTGGATTCTGGATCAAACTATATTGGATTGGTAAGATTCATTTGTTGTTCAAAACAGGATAGTGAATGAATATCAAAAATATTTGCCATCGAACTTCAATAAATAACAATGGCCAATACGTGGCCAATTTTTCTTATTTGTTTGTTTTGTTGTTTAACACCGCACTCAGCAATATTCCAGCTATATGACGGCGGTCTGTAAATAATCGAGTCTGGACCAGACAATCCAGTGATTGACATCATGAGCATCGATCCACGCAATTGAAAAACAATGACATGCATTAACCAAGTCAGCGAGCCTGACCGGCCGATCCCGTTAGTGGCCTATTACGACAAGCATAGTCGCCTTTTACGGCAAGCATGGGTTGCTAAAGACCTATTCTACCCCGGATCTTCACGGGTCAAGTGGCCTGGTAATGAAATCCTCAACTATTCAGGTCCTAGCCTCCAGCTGTTATGTGGGTGGATGATGTCCCAGCCTGTCAGCTTGTGCTTGTGTTGCAGGTGGGGTCTCTAGGCTGTGACTCATGTATGCGCTACAAGGAGAGTGAAGTGTTACGTGTGCAGTGTTCAACCGGAGGTAGGACGTTGTTTACAGTTTTGTAATAATGGCTTAAGATAGTTAGCCAGACGAACTAGCTGCACTTGTATTTGTTCCAATCCCGATAGGTTTGTACACGTGTGTCACTTTTTGTCTAAAGAGTCTGGCGCACAGAGGTTAGTTCTAACTGTGATGGTCTGGCGCACAGGTGTCAATTCCAGTCCCGATGGTCTGACACACAGGTGTACACATATATTACAAGGAATATTGCGATCGTATTGTTGTAGTGGAAAGCATTTCAATACTTTTATTTAAAAATTCTTAACCCCCCAACGCTATCTATAAATGGCTGCTGTCTTCTTAAACCTCAGGGGCGGTCGGGTAGCCTTGTGGTTAAAGCGTTCGCTCGTCACGCCGAAGACCCGGGTTCGATTCCCGACATGGGTAAAATGTGTGAAGCCCATTTCTGGTGTCCCCCGCCGTGATATTGCTGGAATATTGCTAAAAGCGGCGTAAAACCATACTCACTCACTCACTCTTAAACCTCACCCGTTGTCCACCCTGATCTACCATCCGAGGGCAAAATATGCGCTCTTGGACAGTAAGATGAGTTCCATCACCTCATCACAATGAAGATTTACATGACTAAATATCAGGTAACATAATCAGCAGACCGTTAGGAAGCTGTTTAGGTGAGGGAGGAAATAACGTTTTAATTTGCATAGTAGTATTGCCATCAACGCATGTACAATTTCCGTGCATCAATAGTCCAATTATCAGTCGCCCCTAACGGATATGTGTATTGTGTTTTATGTTGGCTCCAGCATCGCCTGAACCTGCGCCTACCATAGATGTGCCGGGTTCAACAACCCCTAGCCCTCCCATAATAGTCAAAGCTGTTATTGGAGTTGGTGCCTTCGCCTTCATCGGAGTCCTTGCTTTGGGAGTGTTTTTGCTGAAACTGAGATGTGAGTAGATATATTTTTGGTCATTTAATAACTTTAAAATATTCTTTTTTTCCCTTTGTCCCTTAATGTTCACTTGTAACGGTTTTGTCTCTAATTATAAGCAGCGGAATATCTGCACTTATAGACATCTGAGGAAATTAATATTTAATAATGGAATCTGATTCAGCGGATAATTGAGACTGTTTTTTCTCTGGCGTGACCGTTTTATATTTCTCGTATGTTTAGTCTACATATCCGCTCTTATAGAAGTAAGCATTGAACCTGTAAAGATCCGGGCTAGAATAGGTCTTCAGCAACCCATGCTTGCTGTAAAAGGCGACTATGCTTGTCGTAAGAGGCGACTAACGGGATCGGGTGGTCAGGCTCGCTGACTTGGTTGATTCATGACATCGTATCCCAATTGCGAAGATCGATGACCGCCGTCATATAGCTGGAACATTGCTGAGTGCGGCGTTAAAGAACAAACAAACTAACAAATAAGTAGTCATTGCGGAACCTGAAGTAGTTAAGTTCAAAAATATATTTTTCCGCTTTTGGTCTTCAAAAACCATTTGTTTGTAATCGGCCAAATAAACAAATTTGTTCTTATACAATGTAGTTTAATTTCAAAGATTTCATTTTTGTGTGTGCATCGAACGGATATTTTATGAAAGATCCAAATTCCTCGGTTACAAGTTACCAAGGCTCCTAATGCTTGAGTTAATACCACATTGTTTAAACTGGGAAATTCTCCCTTAGTGGAATCATATCAGCGAAATTATCGAACTCTTACTCTCTCAATACAAAAGACAACTCTCTCAATGACATACAATATTATACCCGGAGTTAACGTAAGTAAGTTGTCACCTCGTTCTATTTGGCTCAAATGGTCAACAAGATTGCAATTATTGTACTTTTGTTTTGTGTTTTTTTTCAGATGGAAACAGGTATGGCCCGCTCCCTGCATCCGACACTTCTGCATCCCTCGAAACCGTCGCACGAGTGTCAGTGGTGAGGTCGATCGGAGATGACGTTGCTAGAGGAGCCGAGAATTTGGTCCTTCAACTGGAACAACGCGGAAAGACAACGGTGTCTTGGCTGGAATCTGATGCGACGGAGGTGTCGTTATCAGCGTGTGACCTCATCTTCTATGTGACAGATCGGACAGATCGGAATGAACCGCCATGTCTAAAGCAGCTGACATCCAAAACAGTAACTGTTCTCCTTCAAGGAAACAGGAATCCTGATGTCGTGGTGCCACGCGACTTCCAGTTCGGTGACTTGCTGAATAACCAGATGGCGCCAGGGCGTCACCTTCACCTTGAAGACTTTCTGAACCAGCTGGGGCCAGATCACCTAGATGTTGGTAAGTATGAACCTTCCTTACATCCTTATCAAGATCTGTTCATAAAGACTGACAAAAACATCCATAACATGGTATGATACGAAAGCCCATTAGGACTATATTGGTATTTTGTTTTTTTCCTCTTTTAAAAGTCGTAATTACGAGAAAAAAGGTCGTAATTACGTCTTTTCAAAACTCGTAATTACGAGAATGAAGTCGTAATTAAGACTTTTCAAAACTCGTAATTACGAGAATAAGTCGTATTTACGACTTTTTAAAACTCGTTATAACGAGAAAAAATAGTTTATAATAAGATTCTATTTATAGCTTTGTCATTATATCGCGGTGATTTTCATTATCATTGTAAAAGTCGTAATTACGACTTTGTTTCTCGTAATTACGTCTTTATTCTCGTAATTACGAGTTTTGAAAAGTCGTAATTTCGACTTTTACCAATATGGTCCTAATGGGCTTTCGTAGTATGACATGAAGGCGGACTTCAACTTTTCATGTACAATCAAGCATGCTCTTTCTACAAAGATTTCAAAGAGCGTCATAAGTATTTTGACCAGGATTACAAAATTCCAGGAATTAGCAAATGCTAAGCAGTGTGGTGGATATATGATGGATGCTTTTAGATTTGACGCATCAGTGAGGTGAGATGAGGTGAGGTGAGGTCAAATAGGATTGAACGTCGCATTAAAGATTATTACACTTACACAGCGACTTGCATGCACGTATGTGTGTGTTTAAGGCAGGATTTCTTTTCGCAACAGCCTAAAGCACAATTCTTTGATTTCATGAATACGAGGACAAATTTTTTCGATAACATCCCAAACCCACCGCCAGCATATTAAATGGTCGGTCCCTTAAAACCCTTATAAAGAAGCACCAGTAGTTTGTTTCAAATAAACACAGCTTTAATTGAAACGGCATGAAATTATCAAATATAATATGGTAAAAAAAGAACCCAAAGGCTCTGTGCAGTAATATTTGTGTTATAAACATTTTATTGTCCAAAAAGACAAAGGGATTGATCACAAATGCACCACTTGAAGCCGCCTTCTCACGCAGCACCAGTACTGACTTTCCCACAATTATAGACTTGCATGGGCTATAATGGATGTATTTGTCTTTGTGTCCGTATGGGGGCGGTGGGGTAGCCTGGTGGTTGAAGCGTTCGCTCGTCACGCCGAAGACCAGGGTTCGATTCCAACCTTTAAAGAAGTATTTGGCATCATTAAAGTTCGACCAAGAAACTGAAGAGTGTGAAACCTGGGAAGAAAATAATTTTAAGACTGAAAAAAATTAATTCGACCCCTTGTTTTAACACCCACCCATCCCCAATATAATAATATGTTACAAAATAATTATTGTTCGTCTTTCTAGCAGTGAATAACCTGTCTCTAAGATAAATCCAGCGCACATCCCTGAATATTAAATGGGTTTCTGAAATAACATTCGTCTTTTTCTTAAAGGACCATCTCAAGTCAGAGCGCTGTTGCTGTCCTCGTATCAAGGCGAGGAAGACTCTCCACATCGTAAGGCCACGAAGGAGCTCATCAGACTGATGAGGGATCAGCTTAACATGTATGTAGTGGATCCCCAAGACTCCACGCACAGAGACGAACAGAGGGGCTCTGGGCCCAACAACTGGGTCCAAGAAAAGGTCGCAGCTAGTAATCTAGTCATCATTGTCCCCTCCAGCGACCCTCTGTGTTCCAACAAGGGGGACGTACCTATGAACAACGTCCAAAGAATCAACCAAGCTGCTGTTGACTGTTTGAAGCAGTGCCCCAGTGCGTCGGGTCCAAAGGTGTGTGTTGTGACGTTCGGGTACTGGACAGAATACGTTGAGAGTGTACAGAAGTACATCCTAGTCCGTCACACGTTTAATCTTCGTGAACCTGACACTGGAGACCCTACTAGTGTTAGGCACAATCTCCGGCCTTTCTTATCGTGGCTGTGCCAGGACGCGGAGTTGGTTGAGCGGGCGTGTCGGGAGGGAGGGGAGTTTCTCATCAGCGCTGACCGTATGTCTGACATTCTGAATGGAAGCTCATACATCTTGGAGGACATGGTCTGAGAAACAACGGTTCAAATTCTTAACCGATTATTTATGAACCATTGTTGGGAACCGCCTCACGTTTGGGCAATACTGGTTTTATTATTTCCAATAAGCGATGAGACAAAGACCTGTAAGAAGACACGAGGATGTTCTACGAATGGTGACGACTCACTAAAATTATGGTATTCAAATGCAATCATAAGATGTGGCTAAGTTCGTCCTTATTATAGAAAATACGTAATGTAGATACTTATTAGTACAAGACGGGTCTTTCCTACATTTAGACCCTAGACCCTAAACATGTTCAGGTGTTTAACACAATACTAAACATATTTAGACCCTAAACGCCTAAACATTATAGAACAGGGATTGCACTTAGGTTTAGGTATCTCAACAGATTTTTTACAAAGTATAAAAATAATACCGATTACAGCAGAATTATAACTACGATACTGATTGAATGAGACCGGAGCTGTTAAAATGTATGAGTGAGTGAGTGAGGATGGTTTTACGTCGCTTTTTGCAGTATTCTAGCAATATCACAGCGGGGGCCATCAGAAATGGGCTTCACACATTGTACCCAAGATTCTGATTAGTATTGTTATAGAGCTTACATTAATTCTGTTACAGGTCGCAAGGGCGGGGCTAAAAATGGTTGCCTTTATTTGAAAGATATCAGTGATTTTGATAAAGGCAGCAGGCTTCGTTGCAATGTGTCTTCCATCTCATTAGAGTTTGTCATTATGTTAGATAGCCCACTGCGAATTATTTGTTTCATGCTGGGAAAACATATGTGCAATTGTTTTGGGCCGACCATTTTGAATTCTGGTGTGTGCACGTGCGCGCGTGCGTGCGTGGTGGGGAGTATAACCAAATTCCGAAATTGCTGCGAAAAATAATTTGTTCTAAAATGTTATTCCTCGCAGCATATTATTATGCCCCTTATTACTCTCCTAACGCGGAGAATTAATCTTTCTCTTACTGATCATCTATCGGTCATTCTTTAGGTATCTTTTTATACACCATGATTGGATCAAAGAGTTCGTCGAGAAAATGTTAATTTAAATTGATTGATTGTTGGTCATCGATTATAATCGATTAAATGTCAATTCTCATGTGCCTTGAGCTGATCCTGGTAACCATGTGGAGGGCATTTCAAAATTTGACGCATCAATGACAAGAATGTTGTCCGATGCATTTCCCTATTTTGACTTTACCATATCTTCCCGGGTTTTTTTAGATGAACAATTGACTTGCCTTTGCATGTGTTTGTGACGGGTGACACCGATGGGGCAGGATACGCTCACCATTTCGCGAACACCTGGTATTATCTCTTTTTAATAGTGATTCATAAACACATGTTCGTGATATCGTCGGAATCGTACAATCGACTCTGCTTTCGGCAGAGATTTCTCATGAATATGAAAAGGATTTTGTCGCTGTATTATTATGCTATATCCATCATGATTGACCGCTGATTGATTGATTGTTGAATTTTACGAGTGCTGTTGATACATGACTGTTGTTTTACGGGGTTACACAAAGTATTATTATGTCATAGATCAAGACTTTACAGACATAGTTTTAGTGAGAGTGTTATTTTCAATATGAATCTTACTTCTGTTGTCTCGAAGTGTATATTTTCCACAAAGTTTCTATTACATGTCCAAAGAATAATGAAACAACTTCGGCAAAACAGGAGTTTACTGCCAAGAAGCCATTGCTCATCGTTGTATATTTAAGATTCACAGTTGATCTGACAAAAGGCCTGACATATTCTATTTCTATAACGTGCTTCATGTGATTGGTAGGGCAATCGATTAAAGGTCATTTTAACTTTGTGATGCTCTCTTTACGTGACGTAGAAGGGGTAGAGGCGAGGTGTAAGGGATCACACACGGCTGTGCAGTGTTGTGTTGATCCAATCAGTTTACTTTTACAGTATTATAGTACATACCTCATTATGTTGTGCATATGTTGTATTTAAACTGCCGGGCCAAAGAAAATAAACACTCATGATGATGTCTAAAAATGAAAACAAACAAGAAATGGTTATTAGATGGTGACGTATTTGATACGGGCATCCTAGTTAAGTTTTGGACCTTAAGTTTGCAGTGTTTCGCCGATTGTTTTCGCCCTAGGAACGTTATAACAACGTTTGTAATTTTTATTCAAATTCAAATTTCAAGTGTATACTTTATTGTGCCCGGCATCTAAGTTTAAGATGTGTTGTAAAATAGAGTAGAGTAGAGTGTGTTGTGTTTCAGGCATTTAATGCCAAGGAACCATTCATGTATATTTACTCGCATAGGCCCCCCATACGTCCCAGCACTGGACAATAACACTGAGTAAACTTCATACATAAACCTATTTTACTGTACATGTTTCTTTAATTCATTTTCATCCCCCCCCCCCCCCCCCCCCCCCCCCACACACACACACACACACACACACACAAACACACACTAATACACGCATACACTCACACACACACACACACGCACGCACGCACGCACGCACGCACACACACACACACATGCTGGTGAATAATGTGTTCTGGAAAAACCTCGATGTTGTCTTGTATAGGAAATCCATGACCGCTCATGACAAATACGCTCATGATGGTTTTTTTCATGTATCCGATCAATCTGCATTAAACTATCTTTAGAAACATATGGTTTGTATGTGTTTTTAACAGTAAGTCATGCACACTGTCTTGATATTATTTGCATCGTGGCGCACTCTCCAATACTATATACCCCCGTGGGGAATCCGGATGGCATTGGGTCCCCACCTACCTACACTGGAGGTCCGGGGGTCATGCTCGGTCCCCACCTACCTATACTGGAGGTCCGGGGGTCATGCTCGGTCCCCACCTACCTATACTGGAGGTCCGGGGGTCATGCTCGGTCCCCACCTACCTATACTGGAGGTCCGGGGGTCATGCTCGGTCCCCACCTACCTATACTGGAGGTCCGGGGGTCATGCTCGGTCCCCACCTACCTACACTGGAGGTCCGGGGGTTATGCTCGGTCCCCACGACATGGGTGGTTCCTCATGATATAAATAACTGGATTGTTTGATCTCGTCGTCATATAGCTGGAATATTGCTGAGTGGGGCGTTAAACAACAATCAGACACAACAGGTTATCAGCATTGCTATAATTCTGCTATAATATGGTAGTAGTAGTAGTAGTAGTAGTAGTAGTAGTAGTTACTAGATTGTCTCATGCCGTCGTCATATAGCTGGAATATTGCTGAGTGGGGCGTTAAACAACAATCAGACACAACAGGTTATCAGCATTGCTATAATTCTGCTATAATATGGTAGTAGTAGTAGTAGTAGTAGTAGTAGTAGTAGTAGTAGTAGTTACTAGATTGTCTCATGCCGTCGTCATATAGCTGGAATATTGCTGAGTGGGGCGTTAAACAACAATCAGACACAACAGGTTATCAGCATTGCTATAATTCTGCTATAATATGGTAGTAGTAGTAGTAGTAGTAGTAGTAGTAGTAGTTACTAGATTGTCTCATGCCGTCGTCATATAGCTGGAATATTGCTGAGTGGGGCGTTAAACAACAATCAGACACAACAGGTTATCAGCATTGCTATAATTCTGCTATAGTAGTAGTAGTAGTAATAGTAGTAGAAGTAGTAGTAGTAGAAGTAGTAGTAGTAGAAGTAGTAGTAGTAGTAGTAGTAGTAATTACTAGATTGTTTGGTGTCGTCGTCATATAGTTGGAATAGTGCAGAGTCAGGCATTAAATAATCAGCCACAAAAGGTTATCAGCATTGCTATACTTCTGCTGTAATATAGTAGTTAGTGAGTGAGTGTGGTTTTACGCTGCTTTTTATCAATATTCCAACAATATCAATAGAAGAAAATTACTCCATTTAAAGTTTTAAACGCTTAAAAGGACACGGTCATCACTGTCATTAAGTACAAAGAATGAAAGCCGATCGTAATATTAAATACCACGTCACACCCACAGAAAATGATTCTTGCACTGCGACTGTACACTGAAGGCTAGAGCTTGAATCAGAGAGTCTTGGTGGAGTACAGGGCCGTCATCGCTTCGCACAAGTTTGCATTTGAGTTTTCCCTCCTACCGGAATCGAACCTCGGAAAATCCCAACGAGAAACTCGAACAATGTGACCTAAATCTGAAACAATGTAAAAAAATATTTTCAGACAAGAAAGCCTCCCACATAAAGACGTCGTATGATGCAGCAGTAGGTCACGGCAAATGTACGAGACGTGGAAAGGTAATACAGTAAACTACGGTTGTCTGTCGGATATAACGAACTACTTATTTGGTCCCGACTATTTGCTGTAGTTATGCTGTATATATGCTTATAACGAACTACGGTTATAACGAACTAAAATTAGAAGTCCCTTTGAGTTCGTTATAACCGTACTTTACTGTATGTGTAAAGATATACAAAAATATATTTGAAGGCACAGTTCAGATTCCTATCGACAACAGGAATCGAGTCTCGGAAAACCCCAGTGAGGCCTTCAAACTATGACCTGACACTGAATGCTTTGATAAACAATTGAGAGACACAAGAATGCCAGTTACATAAAAAACGGCGCAGGACGCAACGACTTAGTCATGTATAGTCCCTTAAATAAAGTTATGATGGAGGTTAAATAAAAATAATTCTAAAAACCAACCCATGAGTACAATAGGAACCCCGAAGTCTCCTTATTTCAGCTAGAACTGACAAGGGGATGAATATAGGCAGCTTGAGGGGATGGGGGGAAGAGCATGAAAAAATTAATAGATTTCTATTTTTTTCAAATATAAAAAGTTATGAATCTGAACATTATTTAGGGACTGGTCATTTATTATTATTTGGAGGGGGTGTCATGAAAAAAATGAAGTTTTGTGCGGAGGGGTGGGGACTTACACTTACATATTTTGCTGCACACACACACCCATTTAAAGTAACATTTATTCATGCCCCCACCCCTCCGCACAAAACTTCAATATTTTCATGACACCCCCTCCAAATAATAATAAATGACCAGTCCCTAAATAATGTTCAGGTTCATTACTTTTTATATTTGAAAAAAAAATAGAACTCTATTTTTTTCATGCTCTTCCCCCCACCCCCTCGATGATTACACGATAACTAAACTCGAACTGACAAATCACAAAGTGAACTACTCCTTTTCCAAAACATGCACGACCCGTGAAGATCCGGGATAGAATAAGTCTTCAGCAACCCAGGCCGTAAAACGCGACTGTGCTTGTCGTAAGAGGCGACTAACGGGATCGGGTGGACAGGCTCACTGACTTGGTTGATGCATGTCATCAATCCCAATTGCGTGGATCGATGCTCATGATATCAATCACTGGATTGTCTGGTCCAGACTCGATTATATACAGACCGCCGTCATATAGCAGGGATATTGCTGAATGCGGCGTAAACGAACCATCCAACCAAATCATGCACCTGCGCATGCAAATTTAGCATGTTTCAACAACGCAGTGTTAATCTATCGATCTTGTGTACAGTGGTATACACTTTCCCGCCAAACATGTGCCGACCTATATTCCACTATACCCACAGCATGTCGACCGTGTTTAGGTATTTAACCAGTTAACCACTTTACTCCATCATATAACTTGGTTAGAACGTGCATAATATCTTTGTGAAGGCGAGCGTACACCATCTTCGGAGGTATGCAGGTCAATATTTCTCCCCCATGCGAAGACTGTGGACAGTATGCCTATACGAGTTACCGGTCTTCAGTGGTTAACCGCTGTTCAACTGTTCAGGTTTACCTGTGCGGTCTCTTCGTATCGAAAGAAGCGCAGAGATATTCTAAAACCACTTCCCGTCTGTCATGGATAAAGATAGAAGGACAGAAATAGACTGGTTTTCCGGTTATTTTAAAACGAGGTTGGGTGTATTTGGGCGATATTTACCAGGTGTTGATACTGTTGTCAATGGCTGGATTATTTGTTTAACGTGCATGTGTCTCCATCATATTTGATAGAATATTTCATAGATGTGGAAAATAATTATATATGAAAACAATATGTGCCTAGATTAAGTACTTGAGCATAACAGACATAAATAATGCCAAGAACCAGTTAATACAGCAACCACGAGTCGTACTCACAAACGCAACGATTACAATACGTTATAAAAATAGCCCATTCGGAGTATTGCACCACAAGAAGAAAACACTGCCTGAATACTATAAAACAGATCGCATCAAGTGACAATTCAGTTGAGTAACTGGCTGAGGCCTTGCCCGTGTTGTGAATAGCCGTTATGGTGCTAAAATCGTCAAAACACGGAGTTTACTCCGGGAATACTCTGCGGGCGTCCAACTCACTTTACAACCGACAGTACCGCGCTCACAGTTCAATTGTGAGGCGATATATCGGGGGAACGGAGAAGAAAAAACTCCAAATTCAACAGTTGATTGAAAACTTCGATATTCAAGATTTCGATGTTGAATTCTCGCTCAACAAAAGAGAACGATGGGTTTTACCTGAAGTCATCAGAATATACATCCAGTCCGGTGAGTCGCCTGAAGACACCACAAAAACAGATTTAATTTTGAGGCATAAGTTGAAGCGACAAGCTAATTGTGTTGCTTACTACTCAGATAAAGGACATATAAAGCGGCTTGTTCCGAAAGTGGGACGATATTTTGATGGTAAAACGGCAACAAATTACAAAACGCGCCAAACGAAAGGGAAGAGAGGTAAGAAGACAGTGACCGACATTAATGAGACACTTCAACCCGATAGTGATGAATCAACAGTCAGATATGAGATATTCTGCCCCTGTTCCCCGAGAAGCTCCATTGTTCACAACCCGAAGTACATCAAGCCAGAAGGCAGAGACAGTGCCAGCGCCACTGTGAATGGAGGGAAGAAAAACAAGCGACGATCTCGTCTAACTTCTCGAGATGTGAACGAGATGTTAGATGACAGGAGCGAGGACTTTGACTTTCTGAGTGAAGACGATTCCGATACTGGAGACGTGATTTCAAGCGGACACTTTACGTTTAGGGACTTTATCAAACCTGAAAGGAAAACAAAAAGGAAGTCTCGCACTCGGCGACCGAGCCACGAAGACGACGACAGTGAGCGTAAGAGAAGTCGCATTGTGTTTGTTGATAAAGATGTGTCGTCTGCTCGCTCCGTGACAGCAGGAGATGAAACATATTCTCAAGGTGAGAATTCCCCTTCAGTCAGCCTCAAAGACCCAACAATTGTCATTCCTGTAGCTGTAAAAGTTGATTCAAATGAGGCTGCTTTTGATAACCTGCAAACTGTGTATGGTCGGCGTTATATGGAGGCAAAGTGTGAACCTCGCAAGTTCAGTATTGACATGACTGACAGACTTAGAGATCATGTTAGAACGTCGACATTCTTCAGGGACGTGACGTCATCATCGTTGGATCTCCATGGTTACCTTACATTTACAGAGGTTGAAGGTCGGAACGATGCCACCCTGAGTGTCTACCACGTTGCCTTGAACATTGCTTCTCACATGAACTCTATGAAACTCGAGACGATTATGGATATGGAGACCTACACACTGGCACAGCTTGAGGACAGGTGCCTATCTTACGTCGATACTCTCCCAAGTGATGTTTTCGTGAAGCGTGACGCCTTCAACGCCTGGGAGACGCCATTCATGACGTTTCAGCTTGTGACTGAGGGAAGGAGGTGGAACATGAACTGTATCCACCCGCACGAGTTCTCTGACAACGTCTGCAGTCTACAGGGAACCTACAGAGATGCTGCAGAAATTGGCAGTCCTCCCGACGTCTGCAGTATCTGCTATGATGACATAAGGGTTTCCACTGAAAGTACTGACACACCTTCCCCCGCAACTAGTCTTGACGCATGTGGTCACTGGTTCTGTGATAGTTGTTGGAGGCAACATTTGGTCAGCAAACTGCGATCTGGACCCTGTGCCTTGACGTGCCCTGAGTATGGCTGCAGTGTAGAGGCAGACTTCCCCACGCTTCTTTCCTTCCTTCACATCGGTGACGTCAAGAAACACATCGAGAGACAGACGAGTGAGAAGATCAACTGCTCCGCTCAGGCAAAGTGGTGTCCCAAACCTCAGTGTGGACGGGCCATTCTGGCAGAAGGACTTCCTATCAGAAACAGAAGTATTCCCATTGTGTGTTCCTGTGGCACAGATCTCTGCTTTGCCTGCATGAAGAACGCCCACTGGCCTGCTACATGTGCCCAGGCCAAGCAGTTCCGCGAGAAGGTGATTGCTCTGAAGGACTATGTGACCCTTGCCAAGGATGCCTTCCTTGATCCCCTTCCTGATGCTGTTGCTGTGAGTGGTAAGAGCTGCCCAAAGTGCAAGCGTTTCATCGAGAAGATATCTGGATGTCCAAACATGTCCTGTCCTTGTGGGGCTACGTTTTGCTGGATTTGTTCGAAGGCCACAAAGCCCTACGAACGTCATGACTGCGTTGTTGAAGCGCAGAAAAACGTATTAGTAGAGGAGTATGTATATTACCCCATGGGGTTCAAAAGAACGCGTTTCTACAGCACTGCATTGAAGCACCGTCAACAACGACTGACATGCAACATGTTCAAACATCTCTCCCGTACAGGAGCCCTATCCAAACGCCTTGCTGCTGACGTATTCTCCCACAAGAAACTAAGAAATCAGATCCGAGATTATTCTCAAGATGACCAGCCATTATTTAGACTAGCTGATAACTTCCTGAGGCGCATGCTCAGTGTCAAACTCGAACTTCATCACGTGATCGAAAACGTTGCCATAGCAATTGATAACATGTTGCCAGGAAGTCAACCCAATGGCCTCATGCAAACCCTGACAAGAATGGAGGCGTGTGCAGCAACCATCGAAGCCACATTAGAAACGGGACCGTCGCTCTCCAACTCCGTGTTGGTAGATAAACTCTTGATTTGTCAGAAGAATGCCCGCTTCAATATCGCCCGTGTCGCACAGTTGATGAAGTAATCCAGTTGCAGAGTCCCTGTTTCATCCTTATAAAACTCTGGTTAACCCGAAGTCTTGTGGTATCTAAGAGTGTGAATATTAAACTATGATCTCAAGCTACACTGACGCTTTGAAATATTAATTCTTCACGATTAATATTTGAATATGTTAATGATGCACTGAAACGGTTTTAGTAGTAGTAGGACGTTTTACATCATCAGAGACGTGAACAATTTTACATTTGTATATCATGCAGAGTTGCGTTCCAGAAACCTGAAATTGTGGGTTCGAATCTCAGATTCGCCCTGATTATGTGTCTGGGTTTGTCAGCACCATACCCGTGCTCGTGGGTTTCACCGAAATGGTAAACGTCTGAGACCTGCAAACCTGAAATTGTGTGTTCGAATCTCAGATTCGCCCTGATTATGTGTATGGGTTTGCCAGCGCTATACCAGTGCTCGTGGGTTTCACCGAAGTGGTAAACGTCTAAGACCTACATCACTTCGGGCTTTCCTCGACACGCCGCGATATAACTGCATTAATGTTAAAAGCGGCGTTAAACCCAAATCATTCCCTCACTCTATAAGATTATAAGACCTGCATGACTTCGGGATTTCTTCCCACATAAAGCAGCTGACACAAAGCTTCCGAAAACAGAACGTGCTCACATTCGGAACATCTGAGCAAAACATGGATTTTACAGATGCTTCAGGCATTTAATATGCTTATTAATGTCAGTATTTGATTGTTCATTATTGTTATTCATCATCAAACTGCCAAATAAATCGTTATTTGTTTACATTATGTGTCTATCCTCTTTCAACTACGCCCTACCCACATTGTCATATTCATTATATAATCTTACATAATGACCCACGGTGGGCCTTAGGCCACAATACATTCAAGTCCCGATTCGTGTCGTAGGGGGCGATTAAAATGTGCGATTTAGTATGATCTTATGTCGATTTTAGTCAAGTTCAAAGTAATTTTTAGCAATATTCCAGTAATAAGCCGACTGGGGACACCAAAACATTGCTTCAAACATTGGTCTCGTGTAGGGAATCGAACCCGGACCTTCGGCGTAGAGATCGAACTCTTAACCGTGAAGATCCGGGGTAGAATAGGTCTTCAGCAATCCATGCTTGCCGTAAAAGGCGACTATGTTTGTCGTAAAAGGCGACTCTGTTTGTCGTAAAAGGCGACTAACGGGATCAGATGGTCAGGCTGCTGACTTGGTTGATGCATGACATTGAATCCCAATTGCGTGGAACGATGCTCGTGATATCAGGTCCAGACTCGATTATTTACAGGCCGCTGTCATATAGCTGGAATACTGCTGAGTGCGGCGTTAAACAACAAGCCACAAAAACTCGTAACCGCGAGACATGAAATAGGAACAGGTGATTTCAATGTGTGACTAATGCATGGTTATGGTTCTTCAATCAACTGGGGCGGTAGGGTAGTCTAGTGGTTAAAGCGTTGGCTCGTCACGCCGAAGACCCGGGTTCGATTCCCGACATGGGTACAATGTGTGAAGCCCATTTCTGGTGTCCCCCGCCGTGATATTGCTGGAATATTGCTAAAAGCGGCGTAAAACCATACTCACTCACTCACTCACTCACTTCAATCAACTGGTCTGCACGGTCGAGGTAGTCGTAAAATGCTTTCATACACATACTCTGTCATTTGAATCAGGTTGTGTTTTAGAGGACTGTTAAAAGTTTACCGAGTGTCTTATGTTCCAATTTGGGGACACTTACCAACATGTGTGTAAATTTAGGGTCGCGGATCGATCTCTGAGGACAACCCAACAAATCCCTGGACACACTCATACATTTGAAGGGGCGGTCGGGTAGCCTAGTGGTTAAAGCGTTAGCTCGTCACGCCGAAGACACGGGTTCGATTTCCCGACATGGGTACAATGTGTGAAGCCCATTTCTGGTGTCCCCCGCTGTGATATTGCTGGAATATTGCTAAAAGCTGCGTAAAACCATCCTCACTCACTCACTCATACATTTTAACAGCTCTGGTCTACATTCAATCAGTATCGTAGTCATAATTCTGCTTTAATCGGCATTATTTTTATACTTTGTATAAAATCTGTTGAGATACCTAAACCTAAGTGCAATCCCTGTCCTATGATGTTTAGGCGTTTAGGGTCTAAATATGTTTAGTATTGTGTTAAACACCTGAACATGTTTAGGGTCTAGGGTCTAAATGTAGGAAAGACCCGTCTTGTACCACTTGTGCTGCGCAGATTGTTGACCTTACACATGTCATTTTTTCTAGTCACCAGTATCTTAGCTTTGTAAATAATCCAGCCTGGACCAGAAAATCCAGTGAGTGACATCATGAGCATTGATCCACGCAATTGGGATACGATAACATGCATCAACCAACTCAGCGAGCATGACCACCCGATCCCGTAAGTCGCTTCTTACGACAAGCATAGACACCTTTTACGGCAAGCATAGGTTGCTGAAGACCTATTCTACCCTGGATCTTCACGGGTCTTGTTGTTGGAACATTATGATGTTAATATTGCGCCAAGTTCGTTGTTAGTCTTCGTGGTACAAAATATGCTGTCAGTGGCGATATAAAACAGTTTAGTTATAATACTATTCACCTATAAGCAACAGTGATCAAGCTTCCGAGATAGACTTAGGCTGGACACCAGGGTGAAAAGTGATCTTCACACGAAAGCTGGTCTTCGGTCAATGTGAGGTGAAATGTGAGTTGACAGGCACGCGGCCGCTCCACGTATATAGTCAGTCTAAAACTCTATAACGCTTGACATCCATCCATGCTTTCCAGAAGTTTAAAAATAAATCGAGCCTATAAATATAATAATTTCCTCGCCACTGATTACATAAAGTAGTACTACATTCCTGACAACTAATCATTATCCAAATACAATGCAACGAACTTCTACTGAATCTCAACAACAACAGAAATTAATCCAGTTACAATCATTGTTTAACAATACATTATCTGCCATATAACATTATTGTCATGATTTGATGATGTTTATCATTATTATTCATCTGCAAACTCCCAAATACGTCGTTATGTACTTACATTATGTGAATCTTTCCTCTTTCAATTACGCCCTGCCAAAGGGACATACAAGTATCAAATAGTCTTACATTATTATCCACTGGGGTGGGAGCTATGGATGGGGTCGTGGTGCTCCAGAGCAGGATACATTCCCATCTTCCCGAGGCAAGTGAGTTAACTGACTATAAAAGTCCAGTTTTTAAAAGTCCAAGTAACTCTCTTGCCTCGGGAAGATGGATACATTCCATGCTCGTCCCAATTCGTGTCGCAACAGGATGTTAAGATGAACAAGATGGTTTGATTAATATCGCTTTCTGTAATATTCCAGCAAAAGCACGACAGGGGACACCCAGGAATGGTCCCAAACATAGTTTCATTCAATTCCAAATAGCCATTAAAACAACCTTCCACGAGAACAAACGTGTCCCATACTTCCTCTTCCATTAACTCATCATCACATCACTACCAGAGATAAATACATTTACATTACTACATTTAAAGCTGTAATAATCTCGCTATACTTCTCATTCTCGTACATCAATAAACAAACACTTGTTTACATACGTACATACTCTCACATACCTACTCTCACACTCATAGATACACCTCACACATACATAATCACAAGCAAAGAAACGCCTCACACACAGATACATCTCTCACACAAATACATACACCTATAGTGGAGCGGTCGGGTAGCCTAGTGGTTTAAGCGTTGGCTCGTCATGCCGAAAAACCGGGTTCGATTCCCGACATGGTTACTATGTGTAAAGCCCATTCCTGATGTCCATCGCCGTGGTATTGCTGGAATATTGCTAAAAGCGGCGTAAAGCCATACTCACTCACTCACTCGCATACACCTTTAACACACCTGCACCTCTCACACTCATACCCCCCTCACTTACACAGGTACATCCCTAAAATACACACACCTCATCTCATATACGTACATTTTTTACGTGCGTGCATACTCCATTCACTGATCATGACATAGATACACATGTAGCGTACATACACCTCAAACATACTTGGGCCTATCACAAACTACACCTCTCAAATACATTTGTTGTACAATCACATAATCTATTCATATGATCTACATACATTTCAAATAGTATGCAAAACACTGCAGAGCATTTACATTATGCTAAACATGTAAGAGCCTCTTATGGTACATTAATTGCATGGATTTACATAATTCATGTCCTCGTGAAAATCCCGGAGAGAATAGGTCTTCAGCAACCCATGCTTGCCGTAAGAGGCGACTATGCTTGTCGTAAGAGGCGAATAACGGGACCGGGTGGTCAGGTTCGCTGACTTGGTTGATGCATGTCATCGTATCCCAATTTCGTAGATCGATGCTTATGTGTATCACTGGAATATTTACAGACCGCCGTCATATAGCTGGATAATTGCTGAGTGCGGCGTTAAACAACAAACAAACAAACATAATTCATACTATATGGTATCTGCATTCATAAACCAGCACAGCTTATCATAATCCTGAAGGCCTTGTACGTAATTATTTAATTGGTTACAAAAAAGGACCCGCCGTGATATTGCTGGAATATTGCTAAAATTTGCGTAAAACCATACACACTCACCCACTCACTACAAAAAAGGCTTTTACGGATACCACCAATGGAGTACATTGAAGCATAAAATAAACTGCATCTTCAACAGCCTGTTCATGACATAACATACACCTTGAAGGGGAGTAATCGGCTTAATTATTAATTTGAATATTAAAGGATAGGCTTCCACTGCGGTAAGATGCCATTAAACGTCTCTGATATCTTGACATTCTTACATAGTGACAAGTGTTAATTTCTGGTTGTCTAGCCTATAGGTTCTGAGCTTGTTTCCATGAGGATTAAGGGTATTTTTCTATTAAAAAAAACCAATACAAAATGCAAACCCAAATCTGTTTGTTTATTCAGATAATTGTGCCTCATCACCAAGGTTAAAAATCACTTTGTTTCGCTAATTTTGATCAAAAGATCATCTTTTGTAAATGAAAGAAATACATAAAAAAAACACAACAACAACACATGTTAAGAATCATAGTTTCAAGGTAGCGTCGGAAGGGCAGAATTCGGGGTCATGGGTTATACACACTTGATACAAGAAGACTTGACAGTTTTCTCAACATGAAGATCTCTGAAGTAGCTTCATCAACTGTGCGACACGGGCGATACAAACACGAGCCTCCTTCTGGCAAATCACCAGGTTCCCCACCAACTCGGAGTTGGAGAGCGACGGTCCTGTGTCAAAGGCGTCTTCGATGGTGGCTGCACACGATTCCATTCTAGTCAAGGTTTGCATGAGTTTATTGCGGAGACGTTCCGGTGACATGTTATCCATTGCTATGGCAACGTTTTCGATCACGTGATGAAGTTCGAGTTTGATACTGAGCATGCGCCTCATGAAGTTGAAAGCTAATCTGAAAAATGGTTGGTCATCTATTTCTTGAGAATGATCACACATTTGAGTTCTAAGATTCGTGTTAAAACCTATTTCAGCTGCAATGCGTTTGGTTAGAGTGCGCTCCCGGGAGAGATATTTCTGAATATTTACATTCAGTCGCTGTTGGCGATGGTCCAAGGCAGTGGTGTAGAAACGTGTCCTTTTGGCCCAAGGACAGTCAGTGGTATTTTCTTCAATTAGAACATCTCTCAGTTCCTCAGCAAAACACGTGTGTATACTTGATGTGAGTATGCCACATGTCCAGCAGAACTGAGCCCCACAAGGACAAGTCATGTAAGGACATCCAGAGATCTTCTCGATGAACCATCTGCACTTTGGGCAGCTCTTACCGCGCACAGTAATAGAATTGGGAAATAGTTCAAAGAAAGTATCTTTGGCAAGGGTCACATAGTCCTTCAGAGCAATCACCTTCTCACGGAACTGCTTGGCCTGGGCACATGTAGCAGGCCAGTGGGCGTTCTTCATGCAGGCAAAGCAGAGATCTGTGCCACAGGAACACACTACGGGAATACTTCTGTTTCTGATAGGAAGTCCTTCTGCCAGAATGGCCCGTCCACACTGAGGTTTGGGACACCACTTTGCCTGAGCGGAGCAGTTGATCTTCTCACTCGTCTGCCTCTCGATGTGTTTCTTGACGTCACCGATGTGAAGGAAGGAAAGAAGCGTGGGGAAGTCTGCCTCTACACTGCAGCCATACTCAGGGCACGTCAAGGCACAAGGTCCAGATCGCAGTTTGCTGACCAAATGTTGCCTCCAACAACTATCACAGAACCAGTGACCACAGGCGTCAAGACTAGTTGCGGGGGAAGGTGTGTCAGTACTTTCAGTGGAAACCTTTATGTCATCATAGCAGATACCGCAGACGTCGGGAGGACAGTCAAATTCTGCAGCTTCTCTATAGGTTCCCTGCAGACTGCAGACGTTGTCAGAGAACTCGTGCGGGTGGATACAGTTCATGTTCCACCTCCTCCCCTCATTCACAAGATGAAACGACATGAATGGCGTCTCCAGTCCCTTGAAGGCGTCACGCTTCACGAAAACATCCCTTGGGAGTGTATCTATGTAACACAGGCAGCTGTCCTCTAGCTGTGCCAGTGTGTAGGTCTCCCTATCCACAACCGTGTCCATCTTGATAGAGTTCATGTGAGAAGCAATGTTCAAGGCAACGTTGTAGACACTCAGGGTGGCATCGTCCCGACCTTTAACCTCTGTAAATGAAAGGTAACCATGGAGATCCAACGATGATGACGTCACGTCCCAGAAGAATGTCGACGTTCTAACATGACCTCTAAGTTTGTCAGTCATGTCAATACTGAACTTGCGAGGTTCACACTTTGCCTCCATATAACGCCGACCATACACAGTTTGCAGGTTATCAAAAGCAGCCTCATTTGAATCAACTTTTACAGCTACAGGAATGACAATTGTTGGGTCTTTGAGGCTGACTGAAGGGGAATTCCCACCTTGAGAATATGTTTCATCTCCTGCTGTCACGGAGCGAGCAGACGACACATCTTTATCAACAAACACAATGCGACTTCTCTTACGCTCACTGTCGTCGTCTTCGTGGCTCGGTCGCCGAGTGCGAGTTTTCCTTTTTGTTTTCCTTTCAGGTTTGATAAAGTCCCTCAATGTAAAGTTTCCCCTAGAAATCACGTCTCCAGTATCGGAGTCGTCTGCACTCAGAAAATCAAAGTCCTCGCTCCTGTCACCTAACATCTCGTTCACATCTCGAGAAGTTAGACGAGATCGTCGCTTGTTTTTCTTCCCTCCATTCACAGTGGCGCTGGCACTGTCTCTGCCTTCTGGCTTGGTGTACTTCGGGTTATGAACAATGGAGCTTCTCGAGGAACAGGGGTAGAATATCTCATATCTGACTGTTGATTCATCACTATCGGGTTGAAGTGTTTCATCAATGTCGATCACTGTCTTGTTACCTCTCTTCCCTTTCGTTTGGCGCGTTTTGTAATTTGTTGCCGTTTTACCATCAAAATATCGTCCCACTTTCGGAACAAGCCGCTTTATATGTCCTTTATCTGAGTAGTAAGCGACACAATTATCTTGTCGCTTCAACTTATGCCTCAAAATTAAATCTGTTTTTGTAGAGTCTTCAGGCGACTCACCGGACTGGATGTATATTCTGATTACTTCAGGTAAAACCCATCGTTCTCTTTTGTTGAGCGAGAATTCAACATCGAAATCTGGAATATCGAAGTTTTCAATCAACTGTTGAATTTGGAGTTTTTTCTTCTCCGTTCCTCCTCCGACATAATGCCTCACTATTGAACTGTGAGTGTAGTACTGTCGGTTGTAAAGCGAGTTGGACGCCCGCAAAGTATTCCCGGAGCAAACACCGTATTTTGACGATTTTAGCACCATAGCGGTAATTCACAACACGGGCAAGGCTTCAGCCAGTTAATATAACTGAACTGTCATTAATGCGGTCTGTTTATATTATCCAGGCATCGTTTTCTCCTCGTGGTGCAATACACCGGCTGTGCTATTTTAGGACACTATCTCGAGGCTTACAACATCGTAATAATCAATGCCTGACCCACCTCGTGTATTCTGTTATCAGCCAAGATAGGTTCATAGGTTGCTGGCTGCTATTGAATTACAGCTGATCATCAGCCGTGTTAATTTATTAGATTTTGGGAAGCATTACATGATTTTAATCAGCGTGATATGAATAATAATTCATTTCAACATTTGTCTTCGGCAGGGAGGCTACATACTCTTATCCAGACTCTCCAGGAGGTCGACCATCTCCGTGGTCTAGAGGTAGGGCGTCCGTCCGATCCCCGGCGGCGTCATACCAAAAGACGTTAAAAGATGGTACTTGTTGCTACCCTGACTGACGCTCGGCATTAAGGGGCTAAAACAAGGACTGGTCGACTCGGAGTCAGTAAACTGTGTCTGAGTGGGGTATTCATGTAAGAGGGGGTGAGTATGGTTTTACGCCGCTTTTAGCAATATTCCAGCAACATCACGTCGGATTCATGTTAGACCGCGGCATGGTATCACAGTGGGCTAGCACTATAAATCGGGCACACACACCCACACCCACACCCACACGTTAAATAAGTGCAATAATGTTGGACGCGACGCTAAACCAAATTTCACCTCACCTAAAGGCTAAACACATGGTCAACACCATTTGCCGTAAAAACCAAGCACCTCGAATTCTACGACGCCCGTCGACTCCTTTAGATAAAACATACACATTTCTGGATGGCGTATTATGATGGGCGAATATTTAGCTATGTTATCCTCATTCATGCCAACAAAAACGCCAGTGGCTTCTTTAAAACCAGTGTGACACTCGCGAATGTAAATATCTGTTTATGTATATGATAATAAATGCTGTGTGGACTTGAAAAAACACACCAAATGTGCTTCTTCAACTTAGGCACCTTCAGCAGAAAAAAATATCTCAGGCCGTCAACCTCTACCTCAGAGTATCAAATGGCCTACCATTGAATGCTTCCTAATTTTTGTGCCTGTTGTCACATTTTAACACACACACACGCACGCACGCACGTACACACACACGCCACCAAGCCCGGACCCACGTCACCACACCCCAATTTATATGCTTGGCGAAGGTCCTTTGAACATGTGATATCATATCACTGATTTTATACAAATTTGGTTCATCTGCGTGGGTCTTGCTGTGGATCGAATAGTATACTATGTATACTAACAGAAAAAAGAAACTGTACTTCATAAAATGTACAATAAAATATATTTATTCCAAAATAAATAATGCATCATTCATGACATATTCCTGAAGACATCTCGACTTTAGTCGGAATCGGACAATAAACGCTGCTTCATGCAGAGATTTCTGTGTTGCAAAACACCGGCTGGGTTATTTTTAATGTGCTCAAATTGCTGCGTTTGTGAAAACTACTCAAGGTGTACCAGCTTTGTTTTCAATAACACAGGATAATCCGTTGTTTTACGACAAAGCAGACAGTTTAAACAACAGTGGCATATGTGTACGTGTCAACAACTGATCAACCTCGCCCAAATACAACAGAGCCTCGATTTCAAAAGCAGGTAAACCCGAGCTGAATGTTTGTTCTATTATTAGCCTTCACGTTTGTAACATGCGCGTGTGAACACAAGACGCTATCACATGTGTCTACCTCGGAAGGCAAGTGCAAATGTATAGTCGCAATCATACAATGGACTGTTTCAAGTCCCTGTCTCTTGTGATTGTGGAAATGGAAATGTCGGTGTTTATTTAATGTCGAACAGGGCCCCTGTCAAAAAACATATTCCACAGCATAAGACGACTTAAATATTACAGAATCCGTTAATCACGATCGAAAAAATAATTTATTCAGGAGATACGTCACACAAAGCGCCTGGGAGGAGTGTTTGCGATATACCAATACACTGATGAATGCTCCATAGATATCTCGGCAGCCAGTAATAAATCAAATCTAGGCGAGACAAACCAGTGATTGATATTACGAGCAACGTTCTTGGCCGTTGGAAAACCATCACACGCAATCAACCAAATCACGGAGTCATCCATTTGTTCCCTGGATACAAGGGGCACGGGTCGCCCAGGCGTCTTAGGCGCCGCGATTCGCTGTGCAGAGTTGCGTCCCTTGGGCACGCCAGGAACCTATGATTGTGGGTTCGAATCCCGGTCCCCCCCCCCCCCCCCCCCCCGATTTTTTTTGTAGGTTTGTCAGCACCATACCCGTGCTCATGGGTTTCGCCGAAGTGGTAAACGTCCGAGACCTGCATCACTTCGGGCTTTCCTCCCACATTAAGCTAACACGTCGTGATATAACTGGAATAATGTTAAAAGTGGTGTTAAACCCAACTTACTCACCCTGGATACAAGGGAGTTAACTGACAATAAAAGTCCAGTTTTAACCCTTGCGGAACTAGGCTGGAATTATGGAGTTCTATTTTGGCTGGTCTAACGAGTCTATGAATAGACTAACGCCTGTTGTCTTGTTCCACGGCGAAATGGAAGACTAACGTTAAATTGACAATGACACATTTATATATATCAATATTAATAGTTTAAGTCCATTCGTTTACGAACGGGGATATTTGCAACATATTCAGCATCGCTGTTCTGTACATTGAACTGATTTGGTAGCTTTCATTAAGATAGCTCTTTTCTCGATCAGGGCCATGTTTGGTTATCATAGGCCCCTAAAGGTGGTTGATAAATGTGCTCGAGTGGGTCCTGTGTGATCTGCATACTTGCATCGGCACATGTCCTTCACGTGCATCACGCAGAGGCGACTCGCACAGTGTTCTCTGAGCATAGAGTTCTTGAATATCTTTTTTAAGTAGGGTCATCAAAAGAATGCTGTTCTGTGAATGTTGGCTATGGTTTAAAAAGGTTAGACCACTCGAATCCGTTGAAATGGTCCCGCCAGGGGGTTTAACTGACCATTTCAACGAGTAAACATCGGATCCGTGGTGTTGTCTTACGTATACTTAATCAGGAAGTCTTTGATTACCCAACTCTTCTCAACGGTGAGCGGCAGATTCAGGATTTGTAAAGAACACACACACATGCACGCACGCACACGCACACACACGCACATTATTATCTCTCTGCCAATGAGAAATAAATCAATGCATATTACGTAGACGGTGCCATGGACGTGCTTATTAGTTGTAATGAGTCAAAGCGTGTAGCTATGTGCAGTAACGTTGAAACCACCCCATTGTTCTCGCTATTTCGTTAAGTCAGGTAAATAGCGTTGATATCTCTTAGTTCTTCGCCAATGGAAATCCCATCTTCAAAATCAGTGATGTCGTCTGGTTTCACGAAGTCATATCTATCCTGTGAAATATATCCGGATGATAGACGTGACAGAGCAACATCTTCAGAGCACATGACTTCCGTTTCATCATGTATAGTTTCAGACCAATGTGGGTTGGCTTCTTCGTATAACTTTGCGTTTTGAATTGCTTGTAAGAGTTGTCTCCCTTCTTCCGTTTTGGAATGCTCGACGTTAATGGGAAGATCATACGACGAATCACATGACTTCAGTTTATGTACGTCATAAACAAAGTCTTTAAAGTCCTCCATTAAACTATAAACACGCGACTGTCTATGCAGATTAAGATCTGTATTTTTTCCATTCCCAAAATGGATCCATATGCACTTGCTTATCAGGGCGTCCTTATTAAATATCGATGGCAAAGCGTCCTGAAATAGTCTCCCCGTTACAGAGGTTTCTGTCACTTTTATTTTCATTCCCCTTTTCCACGCTTGGATTTGATTGGCTGACTCGACTGAATGGATGACAAGTATGACTTCCGCATCCTGTATGCACTTACTGGTCCATGTTTCGGGCCCAAGGGAACGGATATCGTTGAAGGACCAATCAACGTGAAACACGTCACAGAAACAGTAGGTTTGCAGATAGAGGGCAAGAGTGCCTACAAGTTTAACATGCGCTTCGTGGTCCTCCGTGTACAACAGAAACACCTTCCGCCGCTCAAGGGGAAGTAGCTGCATGGCAACTGAAACAGATATTAAAGAACATAAAGTGTATTTCGTGTCCGATCACGAACGTCTTTTGAAAATTGAGTATTTGAAGCAAACTGTGAAAAATACAACGAACGCCGTTTTTGTTTAATTAAGAATGAATTTCATCTTTAAAATACCTCGGTAAAAACTAGATATATACTACAGTAAACTACGTTTATAACGAACACGCTTATAACGAACTGACGGATGTAACGAACTTATTTATTGGTTCCAGCCATTTGTTGTATATATGCTGTATATATGCTTATAACGGACTACGGTTATTGCGAACTAAAATTGGTGGTCTCTTTGAGTTCTTTAAAATCGTAGTTTACTGTATAAGTAAATTCTATCGCATTTCTGGAATTGTATAATTAAATAAGTTATAAGTCACTATCTATATGCTAAATTGATGTGTAATGAATTCGGAACAGAGTCACAATTTTTACTTTCAGTCAATATGTCCTTAGGGATCGTGATATATTATGTGGGGTGGAGGAGGGGGATGGGGGAAGTGGGGTGCCAAAAGGGAATCAGGGCAGGGTTACGAAAAAATATGACAGTCTCTAGGGAGGGTCATAAAAAAATACACATAATGGGGGAGGGGTTATGCAAAAAAGTACGTTTTATAAAAAGTTATAAAGTGCTTTTGCATATTGAGTTTTCAGGGAGTCATGACAAAAAAAAGTATAAGGACATGGGGAGGTCATCCAAAAATATGACAAGCATTTGGGGAGGGTAATAATTTTCAGGACATTAGTGCATAAAAAACCTCTGACCCCCTACCCCACCCCTGCAATAAATGACCGGTCCCTTGATGGCTTTGGAAACCATTTCAGTCATATAGTATATCGCGACCGATCAATGAGGTGAAATCATACTTGCGTGAAGAAAGTACTGCGAAGCGACTTACTTTTGTTTTTATGACTTGGAGCTGCTGTCAAGGGTTCTCGGCTGTCACGTGAGTTAGCTCCGCTGTTCCAAACACGAAAAGGTCCTGAGAGAAAAGTCAAGGACAACTATATACACCTAGAAATTAATTTTTTTTTAAACTGACAACATATAGAACAGTGATATACCCGTTTTCACAAAAATCAAGTTTCATGATACTCATTAATAGAATGAGGTGGAGTGAGGTGAAATTGGGTTTAACGTCGCGTCCAAGATTATTGCACTTATATAGCGACGTGCATATACGTTTGTGGCTGCTTGTACTAGTCCCACTGAGATACCATGCCGCAGTTTAACATGAATACCCCACTCAGACACAGTATACTGACTCCGAGCCGACCAGTCCTTGTTTTAGCCCCTCAATGCCGAGAACCAGACAGGGTAACAACAAGTACCATCTTTAAACGTCTTTTGGTATGACGCGGCCGGGGATCGAACCCGGGACCTTCTGCTCTCTGGGCGGACGCCCTACCATTAGACCACGGAGGCGGTCTCATAGAATGACTGTCTATCTCGAGTATAGTCATGACAATAACTGACAATGTCGCCCAAACACACAGGCATATGAACATGAAGCATGATACCCTCGAGTTTCAGGAAAAGCACTTTGATATTAAAGTGAGTGAGATGGGTCTAACGCCGCTTTTAACATTATTCCAGTTATATCACGACGTGTCAGCTTAACGTGGGAGGAAAGCCCGAAGTGATTCAGGTCTCAGACGTTTACCACTTCGGTGAAACCCACGAGCACGGGTACGGTGCTGACAAACCTAGAAACATAATCAGGGGGAACCGGGATTGGAACCCACAATCATAGGTTTCTGGCGTGCCCAAGGGACGCAACTCTGCACAGCGAATCGCGGCGCCTTAGACGACTGGGCCACCCGTGCCCCCTTTGATATTAAAGCAAGTAAGGGTAGATAAAGTGGCAATTATCCGAGTGTTTAGTCAGCACACGTAACCATGACACGCAGGAGGCTGTCAGAGGCACTCCGTTGGCATATCATTGCCATGCATGACACAGGTATGTCATACAGTACCATTGGACATCAACTTGGCTATGACCATACTGTCATCAGCAGACTCGTAAGAAAACACCGACAGACACGTGAAGTAAAGGACCGTTCCCGACCAGGGCCACTCCGAATGACAGCTGCACGGGAAGACAGGGCTCTAGCACGTCCTGTGAGGCGACAACAGGCAACAGGCATCTGTCCACCAGGAGTGTCCGAAACCGGCTAAAATCATTTAGGTTGAAGTCACGAAGGCACATCAGATGTCAGTTGTTAGCTGCTGCTCATCATCAGCGACTTCGAATGGCTTGATATATAGCTCGACGTCATTGAAATCTGAGGACGTGGCGACGGATCCATTGGCCCTATTCTTCCAGCACGTCACAGACGGGCGAATGCGGGTTTGGAGACACAGAAACACTGCGTATACGCCTAGGAACATATTGTACCAACCGTCCCGTATGGTGGGGGGAGCAATATATCATGACTGTAAACTGGACATGGTAACACTACGAGGCAATCTCAACGGCGATCGTTACACCGAGGACATCCTCAAGCCTGTTGTGCGAGATTTTGACAATCACTGAAACACTGCGTATACCCCTAGGAACATTGAACCAACCGTCACGTATGGTGGAGGCCCTGTCGTGGTGTGGGGAGCGATATCTCATGACTGTAAACTGGACATGGTAACAGTGCTAGGCAATCTCAACGGCGACTGTTACACCCAAAACATCCTCAAGCCTGTTGTGGGAGATTTTGACAATCATGCACTTGCCACTCAACACGTGTTTATGACAATTCTGGACCCTATCTTTATAGTGCCGTGACTGCATTTCTTCAAGGACAGGCTTTTGACACTTTGCCTTGGCCCGCTATATGAGTCCAGATTTTAATCCATTGGAACATGTTTGGGACATTCAAGGACGTCGGCTGCAGGCAATGGATCCACCATTACTGAATGTGACAGCTTCAGAGGCTACATTGCATCGGGAGTGGCAGCAGGTACCTCTTGGCCGTATCAGAAGACTCACTGGAGGAGTGAGGAGAAGGGTAGAATCTGTCATCTTGCCACAGGCAGTTTCACTCGCTATTGGTTTTCAGGATTGTGTTTATCTTTGTGTCACATATAATGAACGGTTTTGGGCAGTAATGGTCGTCCATACCTGATCACGGGACTTCCCAGACCATTAGTTTTCATGGTTATCAATTATGCTCAATTACAGGACTATCACAGCTATTGATGCAATTAAAATATTGAACATTTGCATCATTCTCTGTGTTTTCATTAGTCAAAATCTCTCACTCAAACTCACTCACACACTAAACTTACTCACATGTCCACTCTGAGACTAAAATGCCTACTAAGACTCACTCACAGACTATACTTACTGACATACCCCCTCATACCTCGACCTCTGTTCCTCAGTGAGAAGGCGAAGAGCAGCAACAGAATTAACGCAACAAGCACGCCCAGCACGGACCCCAGAACGGTTTTGATGACGTCATTAGGAGACCCGGATGAACCAGGCAAACGATTGTTGAGCATGGACATGCGCTCTGAAAAGGAACATTCCCGGGTGGAGTGAGATATATAAATGTGGAATCAGGGATTTGTCAATGTGCAGCGGATGTACTCGTGAAAGGGGTATTGGCAGATTGTGTGAAGTCAAATGTTTAATGTCGCGTTATATAGTGCTAACCCACTGAGATTCCATGCGCAGTTTAAATGGATACTCCATTCAGACACAGTATACTGACTTAGAGCCGCAAATCCCTTATCCCTTTAATGCCTTCATTGCATTGATTTTGCCATCACAAGGGATCAATATTTCAAAGTTTCATCACTCAAGGATCCTTTTGACATAAACTCTCATTTAATTCTTGGATTTTTTATAGAAATTAAATTAATTGATAAATTTTGATGTAGAAAGCTATATATTTTATAAATTGGTAGTATATGATTATGAATTGAGATTGTTAGTGGTTGTACCCTTGATGGTAGCTTAAGTAGCGTAAAATTATTGTCCCCCTGAGAGGGTACGTAAGCCCACTTCATTCAAAGTATTTTATATATACCAGGGTTTTACTCGTAGAATATTTGTTTGTTTTAATTTTGGCTAAACTTCTCCATAATCACCAATTATTGAAGAGATGGTGTAAATCCTGCCGGGGTCTATGCAGGTAGCAAAGGTACTGTAGTCCCCATGGTCCCCAGTATGGTGGCCTACCTTAAGGTTGCTGGTGATGTATAGCCCAATTTAACATTGTATTGTATGAATAGTCAAGTTTTATGGTCATTTACTAGTTTTAAACCTACATCTGTGATAATCTAATTCTTTTACTGTCCTTTGTCGACAGGTTTGTATTCTAAATTGATGTATATTATAATTAGATATACAGTAAACTACGGTTATAACGAACACGCTTATAACGAACCGACGGATATAACGAACTTACTTTTTTGGTCCCGACTATTTGCTGTAGTTATGCTGTATATATGCTTATAACGAACTACGGTTATAACGAACTAAAATTAGTAGTCCCTTTGAGTTCGTTATAACCGTAGTTTACTGTAGTCACTATATGGCTGAAATATTGCCGATGCGACTTCAAATATTAACTCACTCACTCACTCACTCACTCCCCGAGCGCCAGGCAGAGTAACAAAAAGTATCATCTTTTAACGGTTTTTTATTGTTATGACACGACCTGGGGTCGAACCACCTACCTTCGGCACTCGGGGCATATAATTATGCGCTCTATCCACTACACAAGGGGCGGTGGTAGCTTGGCATAAATTATCTATAAATAAAGTTGTTTTCAGTTGGGAAAAATATTTGGTTTCAAAAGGTGTGTATGGCAAGAGCCAAGTGGTAAACATCTTACACCATCACTTCAGGCTTTCCTCCAACATCAGGGGGCACGGGTGGCCCAGTCGTCTAAGGCTCCGCGATTCGCTGTGCAGAGTTGCGTCCCTCGGGCACGCCAGAAACCTATGATTGTGGGTTCGAATCCCGGTTCTCCCCGATTATGTTTCTAGGTTTGTCAGCACCATACCCGTGCTCGTGGGTTTCACCGAAGTGGTAAACATCAGAGACCTGCATCACTTCGGGCTTTCCTCCCACATTAAGCTGACACGCCGCGATATAACTGGAATACTGTTAAAAGCGGCCTTAAATCCGACTCGCTCACTTTTTGGACTCATTTTAGAGTTTGGCATTAGAAAGCCGGTACCATGACCCTATTTGATTCACACAGACTCGGGCAACATGCCTTTAATCCATAACGGCGGGCGTCATTGACGACTTTGATAAGGGAACCACGACATGGGCCACAAATACAACTATTTCTAATAATTAACCGACGAAATTACACATTTATCAATGTTCCTCAAGGCGAAATCTGCGCAGGCTTTCTGAAACGTAAATAACATGTCTCGCGGATAATTACAAGCCGATTTATTCTTTCAAGTGAAGTATTTATGGTTGCGTAATTACAGCTTCAAGTTCGTCCCTGGGTAGTCATGTTCTTTTTTCATCAAGAAGACATTTGCAGACTGTTTACCAAACTCTTTCACTGCTCAGATACGAGACATTTTAGAAACAAATAGTTGGGTTTTTTCAGTCTTGGGAAAAGGTTTGAGAGGAGGTTTAGTCAACTTAGCCATTATGGAACTTTGAAGTGAAGAAATCTTAATTGAACACCTGCACATGGGAGAAAATGCAATACGGTTTAAGTGGGTAATTTGCATGTAAAGACGACGATGCGAACGTTGTGCGGCCTTGGTGGACAGGCATTCCTTGATTAATGGCCTATTTTCAATGGAACTCAGTGGAACTCAATGGCTGAACAAAACAAGGAGCAAAATGCTGACTAAACTCCTCAATCATCTCCAAATTAAGATAAATAAATAATCTAAAAGGCACTTTAATACAAAGATTATTCTTACCACCACATGCCCATGACTAACTTGTTTGGTAAAATGTTAGCATTTAATTGATAATAATTGTTGCTTGAATTATGTGTTGACATTTTCTGTACACCCCCCCCCCCCCCCCCCCCCCTTTTCGACAATGCTGTGCAGCCCCGTCCTCCCCACATCACCCAAAAAGCTGTATCCGCATTGTATATTTTGGATACATAAAAGTGCAATCGAGATTAAGAATCAGACAAGACACGTGTATGAAAATCTAATCCAAACCTTACCTGGTTGTACATGAGACGTCACTAAGATGGTGTTGGTCCACACTGTGCTGCATGCTTGCTCACATAGTCCGCCAAGCGGTTGCAGCTGGAAATGAAAAAAAACGTATTTAAAAAACTGTTTAAAAATTGTATCATTGTGGTGCAATTTCGGTTGTGTCTTATCTTGCTTTAAAATGACATTTTCGCATTACCACTATCCGGAGGTTGTGTCACCCTACCACTACCCGGAAGAAGTGTCACCCTACCACTATCCGGAAGTTGTGTCACCCTACCACTACCCGGAAGAAGTGTCACCCTACCACTATCCGGAAGTTGTGTCACCCTACCACTACCCGGAAGAAGTGTCACCCTACCACTATCCGGAAGTTGTGTCACCCAACCACTACCCGGAAGAAGTGTCACCCTACCACTATCCGGAAGTTGTGTCACCCTACCACTACCCGGAAGTAGCCTGAAAGTACTTCCGAAATGGAACTTGCTTCCTAGTATGCTTATTCTTATTATATGGTAATAAACCTCACAAAACGATTTCCATAATCATAAGACATCGCAATTTACGATTCCGACTATATCTTTTGTTTGTTGTTTAACGCTGCACTCAGCAATATTGCAGCTATACGACGGCGGTCTGTAAATAATCGAGCCTGGACCAGACAATCCAGTGATTGACATCACGAGCATCGATCCACGCAATTGGAATCGATGACATGCATCAACCAAGTTAGCGAGCCTGACCATCCGATCCCGTTAGTCGCCTATTACGACAAACATAGCCGCCTTGTAGGCAAGCATGGGTTGCTGAAGACCTATTCTAACCAGGATCTTCACGGGTCCGCGACTATATCATAAGTATATGTTTATAAATCACTATCCAAAAGTCATGCTACTAGATGTTTGCGAAAAAGCTTCTTGCCCCATCGGTGGCACAAAGGCAAAGGAAAGTCACCTGAAAAAACACGGAAGCATATTATAAGGTACAAGTGAAAATAGGACATTGCATCGAACACCATTTTGGTCAATGATGCGACAAATTTGGAAATGTCCTCCACATGTCTACCATAAAACTTTATGGAAACTTTGCTAAGCCCTTCCAATTGTAACCCTTGATCAAACAACTTTTGAGAAAGTGTCGTATATAACGCCCTTTTGAAATTTTCGAAGAAAGAGCATGCTCAATTGAACAATAAATTACCATAAAACACTTGCCTTCCCTTTGCATGTGTTTGTGACGGGTGCCATCGGTCGGGCAGGATACGCTCATCTTTTCGCGAACACCTGGTATCATGACTATTTGATAGTGATTCAGAAACACATGCTTATTGTATAGTCGGGATTGTACATGTACTCCGCTTTATACACGATCGGTGTTGAGGTGAGGTGAGGTGAGTTGAGGTGAGGTGAAATGGGGTTAAACGTCGCGTCCAAGATTATTGCACTTATATAGCGACGTGCATGTACGTGTGTGTGTTTGTGTGGCTGCTTGTACTAGTCCGGACTGATGCCGATTTATAGTGCTAGCTCACTGAGATACCATGCCGCAGTTTAACATGAATATCCCACTCAGACACAGTTTACTGACCCCGAGCCGACCAGTCCTTGTTTTAGCCCCTTAATGCCAACCGCCAGACAGGGTAACAACAAGTACCATCTTTTACGTCTTTTGGTATAACGCGGCCGGGGACCTTCCGCTCTCCGGGCGGATGCTCTATCACTAGACCACGGAGGCGGTCCGATACGTGTTGATGTGTAAACGCACATATAGTTTAAGTTGTTTTATCTGTTGTTTATAAAGTGAATGAGTTTGATTTAACGCCGCCTTGAACAGTGTTTCACTCATATCACGGCGTGTCAGCTTGATGTGGGAGAAATCCCGAAGTGATGCAGGTCTTCACCATTTGGGTGAATCTCTCGAGTACGGGTTTGGTGCTGAAGAAGCAAAAACATAACCATGGCGGATTCGAGCACCGTCACAATTTCACGATTACAGTTTCCTGGCACCCATAAGGGAGACAACACTGCACTTTAAGATATTCAGTACTCATGTACTCCAACTTACCCCAATTCTGTAAGTCCCCGGAGAAACGTTCTGAAACGTTGTTTTCAAAACCTGCAGGGAAATACAACAGCAAATAAAGACGACAGTAGAACCGTTGGTTGGTTGTTTTGTTGTTTAACGCCGTACTCAGCAATATTCCACCTATATGACGGCGGTCTGTAAATAATCTGGTCTGGACCAGGCAATCCAGTGATTAATTATCATGCGCATCGATCAACGCAATTGGGATCGATGACATGCATCAACCAAGTCAGCGAGCCTGACCATCCGATCCCGTTAGTCGCCTTTTACAGCAAGCATGGGTTGCTGAAGACCTATTCTACCCCGGATATTCACGGGTCGACAGTAGAACCGAACTTTAAAAAAATGTTCATATGCTTCTCAGTAGCTTGTTTCTGAAGCTTACATTGTGGTGATCCTGCGACAGGATGTGCTGCTGTTCGTTGGTAGTGTTGATGCTAGAGAGTATCACGTTGTAGTGTGCGATGTCGTCGCTGATGGCAGCATGAAATGTCACGATGACGGTGTTGTTGACGTCAACAGAGACGTTGATGTGGGGCGTCCAATCTGTGTTTCAGGGGAAGGATAAGTTTTAATATTTTATCATCTAGAGTCGCGAAATAAAAGTAATAATGTTTACGCTGATGGTACTCGAGTTCACGAGGGAATGTGTGAGTGAGTGTGAGTAAGTAAGGTTTAACGTCGCTTACTCTAGCAATATCATTGCGGGGGACAACATCATTTTCTATCGTGGAATTAATGGTAACAGCTGGTCTTGAAGGTGTCAAAAATAGAGATAAATATCATTGTTAGGCATTAGATTGATGTATGGACTTGAAAATAGTTCCCGCCAGGTGACTTTATTGGCACAATATCTGATCGCGATACCAAGTTTATCGGGTCGATCGATCCCTACGATAATACTAGCCAATACGTGATAAGATAGATCATGGAATACTCGAAATGTGAAATTTCGGCTATGTTAACGCAAATGACTTTCATATATTGAAGTTGCAACACGGCTGGGATAACTCAACATAAAAGAGGCTTATTTCTAGGAAATAAAACTCTCAGTAGTTTGCCACACAATGAACCAGCTGTTGGTTGCAGACGTCTTAGATGTGTTACAACATTCAAGGACCGCCTCCGTGGTCTAGTGGTAGAGCGTCCGCCCGGAGAGCGGAAGGTCCGGGGTTCGATTCCCGGCCGCGTCATACCAAAAGACGTTAAAAGATGGTACTTGTTGTTATCCTGTCTGGCGCTCAGCATTAAGGGTTAAAACAAGGACTGGTCGGCTAGGAGTCAGTATACTGTGTCTGAGTAGGGTATTCATGTTAAACTGCTGCATGGTATCTCAGTGGGCTAGCACTATAAATCGGCATCAGTCCGGTCTAGTACAAGCAGCCACACACACACACACACACACACACACGTGCATGCACGTCGCTATATAAGTGCAGTAATCTTGGACGCGACGTTAAACCCAATTTCACCTCACCTCACCTACAACATTCAAGACCACGGTAAAGCTTTCAAACCATTTTATGGTAGACATGAAAAGGATATTTCCAAATTTGACGCATCAGTGACAACAAGATTGTCTGACGCAGTTCCCTATTTTGACCATAATCATATGATCCAGTGAGGGTTTTCAGGTGAAAAATTGCCTTGCCTTTGCATGTGTTTGGGATGAGTGTCATCAGGATACGCTCATCTTTTCGGGAATCCGTAACCCCCGCTATCATCACGATTTGTCAGTGAAATTATTACATGTTATGACAGAGAATGAATCGTACAATGGGCTTTGAGTTGAGATTTCTTTTGATCATGGGGAAGTTGTTTGTTGCTTTTTATTTTGTCTTTTCACCTACTGCATTACGCGGACACGTGGTGATATTACTTAAGTACTGTACAGAGCGGCGTTAAACCCCGCTCACTCATTCTTGGAGAAATCACCCATTTGTGACAAAGGGCAGTCACTACTCCTCACCTGATGACAGTTGTCGTTGTCGTTGACGGTGCTCCACTACGATTGGACCTTTCACTGTCATGGAACAGTCAAACTGACACGCTCCACCGACAGGCATCACCTGACAGAAACATCACAGATTCAATTTATTTATAGTCAAACTGACAGGTTCCACCTTCAGACGTTTCCTTTCAGAAACCTCACAGATTCAATAAAAATATTTGAAAATGATGTCAATCACTGGATTGTCTGGCTCAGACTCGTTAATTTACAAACAAACAAACAAATTTATTGTCAAACTGACATTGGCACCATCTTTCAGGAATATCACAAATTCAAACAGTCTGAGACCACAGCGAAGAGAACATCACTAAGTCTTGTGTAATGGTATGTCATACTGACCGACCCTACTCACAGCCGTCATCTAACACTGCATTGCACAGACCTTGCTCACAGGCACAATCCGACAGCGAACAAAACACATTTCAAATGTTTGAACAATGTTTATGTTAAGTTGTGTTATTGTTCGTGATCCTGGCAGGGTTTGCAACAGGCTTTATGTTAATAGTCATCACATATCATCTGGCGAGGACGAAAACAAAACGTCAACGTCAGAGAACAAACAGCCTGCCCAATCCGCCGAAACAAACCCCAATGACCACAAAAGGCAAAACAGCGGTGAAAACCTTATGAAACTACTGCCACGACCGGATGAATGAGTCACCAGCACACCATCCCAGCTGGGGCACGGCGGTCAGTAACTGAGTCTGGGCCAGGCAAGCCAGTGATTGATAGCACGAACAACGGTCTATACCGCCGTGTCACGATGATACACATTCAGACAGACCACAAATTGTGACGGCTCTGTCCACATACATGTGTTCTTGTACGGCAAACGCGGACTTGGAGGAGCCTATCTTGTCCAAGAATCTCCTCAACAGTGTCCACGTGGACTACTGCCCCATGTACTGTAACCTGTGCCTCCAGCACATCCGCTACTTCCATCATCATCATCATCATCATCAACAACAACAACAACAACAACCCTCACCTCGATATCAGACTGAATCAAGACCAGGGCCCCGTTCCACAAAGCGATCTTAGCGCTACGATCATCGTAAGCCTATGTTTAAGTATGGGAGTTACGATCACCTTAGCGCTAATATCGCTTTGTGGAACGGGGCCCTGGGCCCACTTGCACAAAGCGATTTTAGTGCTAAGATGTTAGTAACTCCCATACTTTAACATAGGCTTACTGTAGTCTTAGCGCTAAGATAGCTTTGTGCAAGTGGGCCCTGGGCTATTTGTATAAGAACGTGTCTTCCATCACGTACATGTATACACACACTACAGGTCTATCTGGACGTCGTGGGTTGGGCCGACATGTAACAACGTGTGATTCAGGTTTGATGGAAGGTTGATTACAAGATACACAGACCAGTCATGCAGTGTTTACTACTGAATCGGATATGAATACACTCAACACTTGTAGAAATGCGGTCAGGCCACAACAAATTCTTTATTTGTTGTTGGTTGTTTTCCTTTTCTACCAAAGTTGTCGATATGGAAGGAGGGGATCTTAATTTTCTTTTATGAATTGACTTCTTCTGGGGAATGAAATATTTATTTTTTTGCAAATTGGTCGTAGATATTAACCTAAAACTATAAATGTGTATATCTTTGTGTTGTTCTGGACAAACGTTCCTTTTTCTATCTTGATATCTATTTGTTTTCAAGGACGGTAACTTAATTAGTACCCCAAATTGTCATATATAGTAAGTTGTGTTCAGAAGAAAATAGAGAAATGATTGGTTGTTTGTTTCTGTATTGTGGGGAAAAAACATGAAATGTTCGGTTAATTTCTTTCACAGAAAACAAGTATTCTCTCTCTAGTGTCCTCTATCTAACACACACACACACACACACACACGCACGCGCGCACGTACACACACACGCCTCCACGCCCGGACCCACCACACCACACCCCAATTTATATGCTTGGCGAAGGTCCTTTGAACATGTGATATCACTGATTTTATACAAATTTGGTTCATCTGCGTGGGTCTTGCTGTGGATCGAATCCTAACAGGACTTAAGTTTTACTTGGTATTTACGAAAATACGTACCTCAACTCTATACTTTCCGGTAGGAACATCGTAGAAGACGGTCTGCTGGAAACGAGGGCAGAAGGGGGTAGGTTTTTTTTCACACAATCGTAAATAAGTTTTCATGCTTCAAGAAACAAATTTTATAGTTACGTTCGTGGGATTTTACGCCATATTTAGCAGGACATCAGATGGTTAACCTTTACTGTACACACTATACCCATGTAGGGAATCCGAACCGAATGCGTGACAAATGAACGCATTATCCACTCGGCTATACAACCGCGTGTTTTGGTTAATATCAACATACCATACAGACACATGTGTAAACAATTATCCAGCGTATATAACAACATGGCAGAACAAATTAACTACAGTAATATGCTGCAAGATTGAGACGGCACGCAGCAATGTACGTCAACTATTGATTATGTCGCTGCTTCTTCCAACCACGAAAGAACTGTGTAATTTGATTGGGCGGTTATTTTTAGCCTCAAGTAATTGGAACCGGATTTTAAAAAAATTCAAAGGTCGAAAGTGTCCAGAGTCTTTCTCAGAGGAGATATAATTCATTGGATAATCGAGGGTCCAGGGTATATATCAGAGGAGATTTGAGGCACTGGATTATCGAGGGTACAGAGTATATATCAGAGGAGATATGATGCACTGGATTATCGAGGGTCCAGAGTATATATCAGAGGAGATATGATCCACTGGATTATCAAGGATCCAGAGTATATATCAGAGGAGATATGATGAACTGGTTTATCAAGGGTCAAGAGTATATATCAGAGGAGATATGATACATCGGATAATCGAGGGTCAATAGTATATATCAGAGGAGATATGATACACTGGATAAACGAGGGCCCAGAGTATATATCAGAGGAGATATGATACAGTGGATAATCGAGGGTCAAGAGTATATATGAGAGGAGATATGACACACTGGATAATCGAGGGTCCAGAGATATCAGAGGAGATATGATACACTGGATAAACGAGGGTACTAAACAAGCAACGGCTGACATACCTTATATCTATCCCGATTCTTGACTCTGCCCCCAACTTTAAGGGTGTGCCGGGTAGATGTATCGTTACTTAGTCCCCTCAGGATGACATCGTAGTGTCGGAATTTGTAGTAGTTAGGAGCGAGGTTGAAAGTCACTGTGAGATTGTTCTCGTCCAAAGAGGTGCGAATATCACTCCGCCAGTCCCCTGGGCCTGAAATGACACTTAATTAAGTTGTTGAAAGCTGAAGCTATATCACGCTGGCATTCAGCAAATAACATATAGCAATATGTATTATGATACACGGTGGGGTGGCATGGAGTTTAAAGTCGCATTCAAGATTATTGCACTTATATTGCGACGTTCATGCGGGTGTGTGTGGCTGCTTCTATCAGACCTGTGTATGTAGTTCTCCCGCGGATGGTGACGAGTTTCATTACTTTTTCAGGTGTGAAGCTCTTCTCCAGTCACGGTCTATGTACATACCTAAAGACCTCTCCGAATGGCCTAATATGTATATTATTAAATTTAAAAAATGTTTATCCAGCGTTAGAGTAAAGGACATGAAAAACTTGTCTAAATTCACCAACACCGTCTTCTGAAATGCTGAAGCTGTTAAAAAACGCGTATGAGATTTGTGTCACTTTAATTTTGTCATATTTCATTGAAACTTTTAATCTCTACATACATTTGCACAATATCTTTGATATCTTGATTTAATGATTATATTAGAATTTACATCATACTTTTTTCTCATGTTTGGTTGTTTATGTGATGTTTAACGCCGCTCTCGGCAATAATCCAGCTATATGACGGCGGTCTGTAAAAAGAGAGCCTGGACCAGACAATCCAGTGATTGACATCATGAGCATCGATCCACGCAATTGTGATACGATGACATGCATCAACCAAGTCAGCGAGTCTGACCACCCAATCCCGTTAGTCGCCGCTCACGACAAGCACAGTCGCCTTTTACGGCAATCATGGGTTGCTGAAGACCTATTCTACCCCGGATCTTCACGGCTATTTTTCTAATGTACCACCGTTGGTGTGTGTTTTTTCCTGAGAATAAACTAAACTGTGAACTGCTTTCTCACTGAGATACTGTGACGCTGTTGGAAACATATTGGAACATGGATAGCCCACTCATTTTACTGACTCCGAGCCGACCAGTCCTTGTTTTATCCAATTAATGCCGAGCGCCAGACAGGGCAACAATAAAGAAACATACTCTTCGGAAACAGTAGTTTTGTGTTTCACGAATATATACAGGGAAACCCCGTTTATCCGAAATCTGGATTAACGAAGCAGTGGAAGTCATTAACTCTAAAGGGCCAACTTGGGCCTCAGGAAGGCCAATTTGTGCTTATGGGATTAACGGATACAGAGTTACGTCCCTTTGTCTATTCTTTTAACGTATGATATATATTATTCTGTTTCACTGTATGCAATTTACAAGAGATTTAATAATGAAATGTCATTCACCTATTGGCGGAATGTACACCGTCACGTGGTAACCCATTTCCGGTAGATGTTGTACTTCCGGTTGTGGCAGGCTTACGAGGGTGACATAATACTGCGTATTGTTTGGAAGTGGATACAACCTATAGGTGAAATTTACCTGAAACATTCAGACAGTTTTAAACTGATTGATTAATGCGGATACCACCAGTGAGATGGGATGAAATGGGGTTTAACGTCGCGTTCAAGATTACTGCACTAACCTGGCGGCGTGCATGCACGTGTGTGTGTCGTCTGTCTGCTTGGTCTGGATTAATGACGATTTTTTAAGTACTAGCCAACGGAATATCATGCCTCAGTTTAACATGAATACCCCAGTCAGACACAGTATACTGACTCCGAGCGAACCAGTCCTTGTTTTTGCCCCTTAATATCGAGTGTCAGGCAGGGTATCAACAAGTACCATCTTTGAACGTCTTTTGATATGACGCAGACAGGGGTCGAACTCAGACCTTCTGATCTCCGGGCAGACGCTCTACCACTGGACCACGGAGGCGGTCGATACTACCAGTGACAAACTAAATGTCCCGTAGACCGATGAGCGCCTGAGGCGTTAAGTCGATGTGCAGAGTTGCGTCCGTTTGCAGTGCCAGGATCCACTGATGGTGTGTTCGAATCCCAGGTTCGGTTTAAATATGTTCCTTGGGTGGTAATTATTTACTCCATGATCCACTTTGGGAATTCCTTCCGCATTTACTTGACACGACGTGATAGAACTGATACACTGTAAACGTTTAACCCAATCTACCGACGTTCATCCTCGTTTTATCCAGTGTAGTATTTCATCTCCGTTTCTTTATGATACGCTACGCTGGATAATCGAGAATGACTGACGTTATCTGGAGAACGTTTAGGGACAACGATGTTGCCTTCAGTGTCGAGGTTTTAAAAGCGTCTTTTAAACTTTTCATCCTGTCGACAAAACTGTTGGTTTGTGCAGACCTAAACCTGACTGTACATAACATACATTAAACTAATCATAGCATAAACAGCCTACAGTGACCTTTCATTGTATGTGAATAGTCAATCTTTATTATCATAATGGATTAGACCCCGTTTCACAAAGTGATCAAATTCTTTAACATAGGCTTTCGACTGACGTAGCGTTACGATCGCTTTGAGAGTGTGAGTTGGGATTAACGCCGCTTTTAACAGTATTCCAGTTATATCATGGCGATTTATCTTGATGTGGGAGGGAAGCCCACTGTAATGCAAGTCTTAGACGTTTAGCCTTTTGATGAAACCCAAGAGGACAGGTATGGTGCTGACAAACCTAGAAACCGGGATTCGAACCCACAATCATAGGTTTCTGGCGCGCCCAAGGGACGCCTCTCTGCACATCGAATTGCGGCGCCTTAGACGACTGGGTCATCTGTGACCCCGATCGCATTGAGAGAGCAGGGCCTAGACTATAAACAAACTTCTGGATTGCAAATATGCAGTTTTTCTTTAAGGCATCCCCGATTAACCAGTGTATTATATTCCCTTTTATTTCGATAAATACCCTGGAACTGTTCGCCACCATAGCTTCGTTTCGTCAGTGACTTAACTGTCCCTATACCGCATATCACCAACTTAGCACTGAATCGCGTAGTTATTAGTCGGATGGATATTTTCGGCGTCGCGCCTTTCCCCATACCCAAAACGACACTAAGGTAGCGAATGGGTCATGGGTTTTTATCGTAACATAACAGAGAAACAATCCGCTTGATAATCGAGGTATCTACGTTATTATTCAGACGCCTTGTTTAAAATGAAGTCATTGTCTCGGTGTAGTAGGGCAATGATTTCCCAGTAGGTTGACCTAGAGCACAGAGTGCATGACCACATTCAACGATTCTAGGAGTGTCAATACAGTAGGGCTTCAAAATGACCCCACCGCAGTGTACTCACTTCTACGTCAGGAATAGACCACGAAGCGTTCCTCAGATCAAACAGTCGACAAATGGGGGAACTCCCCCTCCATCTGCCGTCCAGCGCCGTCACCGTCAACTTGAACCCCTTCATGTGGTGCACGCTACCTGTAACGTAGGCTCTACTGTTCATCTACAATGTGTCGGTAATGTTTGCTTCACGTGTAATTAATAACAACTTTGCTGTCTCTGTTTGTTGATAAACGCCGCACTCAGCAATATTCCAGCTATATGACGGCGGTCTGTAAATAATCGAGACTGGACCAGACAATCCAGTGATTGACTTCATGAGCATCGATGCACACAATTGGGATACAATGACATTAATCAAACCAAGTCCGCGAGCCTGACCACTTGATCCCGTTAGTCGCCTCTTACGACAAGCATAGTCGCCTTTTACGGCAAGTATGGGTTGCTGAAGACCTATTCTACCCCGGATCTTCACGGGTCTCGTTTAAATGAGGAAGGTGAAGCCTGGTTCGGGGTTTTGCATCATTGTGTCGTGGTATACGTAGATCAGCGCCCCCCTCTGCGGGGGATTCAGGCCGAGCCTACACTAATCTCAGTTAATGATTGAAACACTCTTCCTGTGGCCATACATGAGACATACTTGAGAGACGATGACGAAATAACGTGTCTTTCTTAAAGTCAACAATCACTGAGTCGACTTCCTGTATGAGTAACATATTAAACATGTTTCCATGGAGATATGTCTTACTGTCCTGTGGGGCCTTCCACTGGAAGCGGAGACCGGAAACAATGGCCAAATCACACTGTATCTCCACGGCCTTCACCTCAAAGTCACGTGGTTTTCCCGGCCACGATAGTTGCCCCGAGGGACGCGAGAACATCCCGATGTTTTCCCGGCAGACTGAAATTACACACATTTATATAGATAGTGAATTTTGTTTTGTCTAAGTATCTCCTACGTAGGACATAGTATCTCCTACGTAGGACTTACTATCTAACTAAGAGACAGTAAGTCCTACGTAGGAGATAGTGATTCTAGGCCATACTAAGTAGGAGATACTTAGACCAAAATAAATTCACCGTGGCCTTATCGTAGGAGATAGTGATTCTAGGCCATACTAAGTCCTACGTAAGAGATAGTAAGTCCTACGTAGGAGATACTAAGTTCTACGTAGGAGATACTTAGACACACAAAAATTCCCCGTGACCCCACTACGCTTACGTACGAAGTGGTGTGTACCGAACGTCTCGACATAATTTGTTTTTCTGAAATGAGATGTTTCTGAATTTTTGGAGAATCACAACTGGTTATTAATCAGAATATTCATCATATCCAATTATAGTTTTTCCAGCATTTTCGCGAACAGAATTCTTCTTTAAAAATACAGTTAGGATATAGGGAAAGAGTGCTGGGTATTTATTAGTTTTACGCCGCTTTTGGCAATATTAAAGCAAATATCAGGACTGGGGATACCAGAAATTGGCTTCACACATTGTACCCATCTTTGGAATTAAACCCGGGTCTTCGGCGTGATGAGCGAACGCTTTAACCACTTGACTACCCCGACGCTCCCAGAGAATTATGAAAAGAAATTATAATTGAAGATGTTTTCCAGAGGAAATTCGCTTTATCGGAAATACGTTTTAGTCGTATATTTATTAATTTGCCTGGCAAAGAGAGTATATACTCATGTGTTGAGATGGTGGCTGGGGGCACTGATGACCCAGTCGTCTAAGGCGATTCGCTGTGCAGAGTAGCGTCCCTTGGGCACGCCAGAAACCTATGATTGTGGTTTCGAATCCCGGTTCGCCCCGACTATGTTTTTAGGTTTGTCAGCACCTTACCCGTGCTCGTGGGTTTCACCGAAGTGGTAAACGTCTGAGACCTGCATCACTTCGGGCTTTCCTCCCACAATAAGCTGACACGCCGTGATATAACTGGAATAATGTCAAAAGCGGCGTTCAACCCAACTCACTCACTCACTCACTGAGATGGTGGCTAAACATGAAATAAACAAGAAAAGGTTATTCGAAGGTGATGTATTTGATACGGGTCACATAGTTGTGTTTTTTGACCTCGGGTTTTCAGTTTTTCGGCGACTGTTGTAGCCTAGTAATGTTTTGATAATTTTCAAGTATATACTATTTTGCTGAGCGGTTTAGTTTCTGTTTAGTTTTCAATTTGAAGCCATCACTTGGTAGCCTGAAAATATACTTACACTGTGTGGAACGGACTGCACAGGGGAGTGTCTCCTGAAGAATATATAAACTGTCATCATTATTTTATAACCATACAGCAGGATGATGTATCTGTTTGCTATGAGTTGCGTGCGTGCGTGAGGTTGTACGTTTCAAGACACATGCCGGCTTCACAGTTGTAGCCAACAGAGATACCATACTGCGTGACCCGTGAAGATCCGGGATAGAATAGGTCTTCGGCAACCCATGCTTGCCGTAAAGGCGACTATGCTTGTCGTAAGGGGCGACTAAAGGAATCGGGTGGTCAGGCTCGCGGACTTGGTTGATGCATGTCATCGTATTCCAACTGCGTGGATCGATGCTCATGATGTCTGTCACTGGATTGTCTGGTCCAGACTCAATTATTTACAGACCGCCGTCATATAGCTGGAATATTGCTTAGTGCGGCGTTAAACAAGCAAACAAAAAAACATACTGCGAATCATTAATACCCCATCGAGACACAATATAATGATCCCGAGACGGCCAGTCCTTGTTTTAGCCCCTTAATGCCGAGCGACAAGCAGGATAACAACACGTACCATCTTTTAACGTATTTTGATATGACTCTGCCAGGGGATCGAACCACCGACCTTCCGCTCTCCGGGCAGACGCTCTATCCACTAGACCACGGGAGAGGTTTGTTTGCAATGAAGTCTAAGTTATTAAATACCTTAAAAATGTCCTCATTATTGATTGCCACAATTTGGGTGAGTGAGTGAGTTGGGTTTAACGCCGCTGTTGATGGTCTCTGATGTTTACCACTTGGGTGAAACCCACGAGCACGGGTATGGTGCTGACAAACCTAGAAACATATTCGGCGCGAACCCGGATTCGAACCAACAATCATAGGATTCTGGCTTGCCCAAGGGACGCAACTCGCACAGCGAATCGCGGCGTCTAAGACGACTAGGCCACCCGTGCCCCCGCCACATTTTGGACTGACTTATTAAATTGTTTCACGATAAGAAAATTTGATCAAGCACACAATGCCAACATAACGGAGGAATGTACCCTGCTACCGATACTACGTTTACACCTCGCTTCGATAATTGTTATAGAAACCAATCCAAACATCAACACCGATGTCAATTTACAAATACCCCACAAGCTAATAGAAGCTCCTGAAGCTTTAGTTAATCCCACAAGCAGATCGGTGCTGGCTTAAGCCTATGGGCCTCTGTCGGGGTTACGGGCTGGAAGTCCTCAGTAACCTGTGGGGGGTGTCGCAGGACGTGGACCTATGCACGAGCCGACAAAATGGATAGGATGGTTAGGCTCGGTGACTTGGTTCATTGCGTGTCATCCATTCGTGACCAACTCGTGTTATTCCCGAACAAGCCGAATAGCGACTCGTGCCCCTCTCATGGCCACTTTTGCGACCGGTTTCCGTCTTAGCGCAAACGGGCATACCTAAAACAATTCATTTGTCAACTTGTTGCGTAATGGTTCACATATATTTCCCCATATATTATATATATTTCAGATGCAATTTAAAGCACATCTGGACATGCGGAATTATACAGTATGATTGAACACATTTAACTGTTGTCTTGTGTATATTTTTAGATGCAAGAGATATGTAAAATCAAAACTTATTTCTGGGAGATTCTTTGACCAAGAACTTGAAATCATAGGCGCATTGTGATTGGTTTGTCGTATTTTCGCATATAACATTCATCGATAGGGGTACGAGTCTTCTTGTAGGTTACAGAAAGGGGTTAGTGGTGACGATTGGGGTGGCATCGTGCCCCGACAGCGTGGGCTGTTGCTCGTGGTATCAATCACTGGTTTGTGTGGTCCAGACTGTATTATCTACAAGCCGCCGTTATATAGCTGGGTGCAGCGTTAAACAACAAACAAACCAAGATTAGCTGAGAGGGAATCCCATTTAAACCCTGTCGGCGTTAGTGTTTGACGGCATGTCATATGTACCCAAGTATTTGGTTTGTTTGTTTGCTTGTTGTTTAACTCCCCACTCGGCAATATTCCAGCTACATGACGGCGGTCAGTAAATAATCAAATCTAGGCCACACAGTCCTGTGAATGACATCATGAGCATCGATCCACGCAATTTGGAAACGATAACATGTTGAACCAAGTCAGCGAGTCTGACCATCCGATCCCGTTAGTCGCCTCTTACGACAAGCAAAGTCGCCTTTTACGGCAAGCATGAGTTGCTGAAGACCTATTCCACCCCGGATCTTCACGGGTCATGAGAGTAATCTGATTGGTCGACTTTTTTGCGTCGTGTCATTCGGTACGGGCTCAAAATGAAGCTATGGTGGCGATTGGGCCCAGGGTTGTTATCCAAATACAGTCGAACAGAATAAACTAGCGGCGATCGTGACCTTTATATAGAGATGCAGCTCGATATCAGATCGTGTATCTAACTTCGATTAACCTTTAAAACAGATATCGGCATTAATATTGTAGGAACTATATGTTGAGAGATCGGTGGGTATGGGGTTTACATTGCAATCATGTAATATCACTTCCCTTTGCTGTCCGAGGTATTGGCAATTAACGGAACTGGCGAACGATGTCGTTCTTGCCGCCGTATGACGTACCTGGATTGTGCAGTTCGTGTCTGGACGACAGCTGGGTGTGGCTACAGACTGACCAATGGTCAGAAGCAAGAGGGTTAAACAGACAAGATACGAACATCTCGGGGTCACTCTCCACGACATGGTGACACTGGGACGTCTTCTGAAACACACATTTGTTCAAAACACAAGGGGAATGTACTCAAGGACCACAAGGTTGACGCCTTTATGTTATTGTAGAGTAACATAAGTAACTTTCTTAAAGCTGACTTATACCACCTGCAAAAAAGGGAACCACTGCACGTACCCTTTATGTTTTATGTTTTTTCATATACCCGAACGTCCAAGTATTTTTTAGAAATAACTACACATATCGTTGGTGTCAGTTTACAAATGGTTGCTTAAACCATATTCACATTTTACTATGTCAGATTAATTTCATAGATTTATTTTGAGAAAACACCCGACTTCGTAGACATTGACTGAGGACAAAACAATGTTAACTCACACATATATAAGATTATTTTTTTCTTTTTACCACCAAATTTCTGTGGTAGGATTCCAGGTAATATTATATAGGTCCCCAGCAGGCTATGCTTGTCGTAAGAACCAACTGAATCAATCTCATTAAAATCAGAACTTTGTTCTCGCTACCCCTTTGTGAAGCGGTTGCGAGCACTAAGACTTTGTTTTAACGAGATTGCAACTAAATGGATCGGGTGGTCTGGCTCGTTGACTTGGTTGACTGATTTTCATCGTATCCAAAAAGTGTTCATGATGTCAATCACCCGATTGTGTAGTCCGGTCGCGAATATTTACAGACCGCAGTCATATAACTGGAATATTGCTGAGTGTGGCGTAAACAACAATCAACAGACAATCAGTCACTCAATCAATCAAATAAATCGCCAAATCATGTTGGTCTCCAAGAACCATAGTGCGTGGAACATTCACATCAGCAACGGTGAAGGACATCGACTTTGACAAAAGGCAGCGACATTGATTCTGCAGTGCCGTCCCCTAATCCCAGGAGACGGGTGAAAGTCTATCTGTACGTCAGTAACCCGCCTGACCTGATTCAACAACGGGTCTTGGAAGATTACTCGCTGTATCCGGAAAGTGATAAACTACGAAGATTTGGTTCCGTTACAACCCCGTGTCCTCGAGTGTTCGCGATAGTTGAGACATGTACTAGGTTGTATGGCAATGACTTATTGTTAGGGCAAGCAATATATTATCGACAGTACTAGCTCACACGGTTGTGCAAACTAATGTCTCAAACAGCTCTTCTTGTGCTGTCATTGAGTCATTTATTATTTAGCGTTAACGTCACCATTTCGGGTGAGACTGAATTTTGTTTACTTAATTCAAAAGGTAACAAGAAACACAATCGTTTGTAGCAATAAACGGATAGATCTGATATGATTCGCATAAACTGGTTCCACTGTTGGTTCGCGCAGCAAACCTTGCGCTTTTAGCCAATATGCGGCGGCCTTAATTACACATGTCTATATCTATTGTTTGTCTGTTGTTGTTTAACGCCGCACTCAGCAATATTCCAGCTGTATGACGGCGGTCTGTAAATAATCGAGTCCGGACAAGACAATTCAGTGATTGATATTATGAGCATCGATCTACGCAATTGGGAAACGATGAAATGCATCACCCAAGTCAGCGAGCCTAACCACCCGATTCCGTTAGTCACCTCTTATGACAAGCATAGTCGCCTTGGGTTGCTGAAGACCTATTCTGCTCCGGATCTTCACGGGTCCGTCTTTATCTAGAAAGTTTGGTTTGCGTGATAGAAATCATATGTAATACATTTCTCTGCCGGGGTTTGTATGAGGAGATCTCTGTGACTTTATACGAACAAAATGCACGTAGTCCTTTCTTTGTTTTCATCTGGTACTGATGACTAACGAATGTCATTGTTAGTGTCACCACTGCCTGGGTACTCGTTCATGGAGACAGGAGCACAATCAACGATTCCCAAACACCCAAATTATTCTAACGAAAGGCTAGAAATATCCCATCTTCCCGAGGCAAGAGAGTTAACTGACTATAAAAGTCCAGTTTCCACCCTTGCCGAACTAGGCTGGTATTATGGAGTTACATTTTGGCTGGACTAACGAGTCTTTGCATAGTTCAATCAAAATCGCGCACCGAACTCGAAATCCGGTTCGTTAACTGTCGTGCTGATTTCGGTCGATTGCAGGATTTGCAAAACATGTGCACCGCAAACTCGTTGGCAGCAGATATTTTCCAAATCTTTTCATGTTTTTAATCAAGGTGCTCACATGATTTGCTGCATTTCGCGATGTAAGACCCGTTTTATCACAATATAGACCTTGATTGTCAATCAGATCGTCCTGACCGGGCGCCATCATTTTGTGTGAAGCAAACGCAAGTGATACGAGAGGTGGAATCTGATTGGTCCAAAGGAGAGGCTTAGAAGGGACATAACTGGTAATAGCCACCGGTGGCGCTACGATCGAGCCAAGTAATTCCAGCCTAGTTCGGCAAGGGTGGAAACTGGACTTTAAAGTCAGTTAACTCTTTTTCCTCGGGAAGATGGAAATATCCAGTCAGTGTGAAGCAATTATGTTTCTTTCTTCAACTTACATAAAAGAATCCCCATAAATTTTTCTTGACCATATGAATAAAATTCCCGTTTTATTAACAACCGCTCTCTGACATACTGACGAAGGGGCGGGAGAATTTCATATTTCCTTTTTCTAAACTGGGTTCCTTCTCTTCATATTGTATTCTAAAAAACCTCGTGCTTTTACTGTAACAGTTAAGGGAGAAATTATACTTGATTACACTACACATGGGGGAAGCGTAAATTTATTTCTTAAATTAAGAGTTCACGGTGCTTATCGTTGAGAGCCGCTACCCAGATAAGCTATGAAATCACAATGTTATGACGTCATATTTATCGCGCGTTGCCTGGTTCCGCTGCTGCCTGCTTTGTGTGACATGTAGACAGAAGCTCAGTCTACAATGTGCGTAGTCAATGTAAATAAGACAAAAACATTCCATAGTTTTAGAGCAAAACCCGCATGTCGGAGAGGCAGTTATTAACGTTATAAATGACTTTTTGTTTTGATGTGTTGGAAATTGAGAATGATTCTCCTTGATTGCATGAAAGTCCACAGAATGCAACCACCAGGCAACCGTTTTGAAAATTGAAAGGCTGTGAACCCAAATATATCTTTTGTATTGTCGTATGGAGACTTTTGATATTTCACAATTGAAATTACGTCCGCCAGCTTTTATGTTTTGACGAAAAAGAATCCTTCAACAACATAATCGGATGGATACAGAAGGGGACACCTCTGTGGAGATTCCGGGTGAAAATATGTCCCCAGCAACCTAAATGGACAAAATGAATCGGGTGATTCTCGGTGAATTGGTTGATGGCGTATCATCGTACCCCGACGGCGTCGGACGTTGTTCACAATATTAATCACCGGATTTTCTGGTCCAGATTCGATTATTTACTGGCCGCTGTCATAGGCGTAAACATCAAACCGATTAAAGTAATCGATATTCTGGGGAAATATTCTGAAAATGCTGGTTAAAATATTTTGTTCTGTAAAATATTGCGTCGAAGGTTTCAAACATTGTTTGAATCCTCCTTGGAGAGAAAAGGCACCTCGAAGAGTTAACAGCAACAAATATCAATATCAGACAAAAAGAAAATAAGACCGGATTATACTAGTCGATTTTTGATAGCGCTAATTAGATGTGTCAGATATATTTAAATATACACTTGACATGTTATGAGAATCAGTTTCGTTAATCATGGAAAGATAAAAAATATTGGTATCAAAAGTGTTGCAGTATATGTTCTCTAGTTGAAGCATTTAGCGTTTAGTCTGAGACTTACCGAGTTGGCGCGCCAGTCGCCCGGCTGCACGGTGATGCAATGCTGCTGCAACACACAGTTTATCCCCACGGTGCCACGTGGGTTTTATCACACATCAATAAAGCCGGTACAGAAAGCCTCGCATATCACGTGGTGCTTTGCGCCCGTGATTTATGGTATGCGATTTTACATGACATTATCGACCCCCTTTCATTGTCAGAATACCATTCATGTGCGTATAGGTCAGCGGGAGACGCAAAGGGGCGCTTCGGGAGTCGGATAAGTCTCCGGGGATCGGGTAGATCTTCGGGGTCCGGTAGGTCTCAGGGTTTCGGGTAGGTCTTCGGGTTTCTGGTAGGTCTTCCGATTTCGGGTAGGTCTTCGGGTTTCGGGTCGGTCTTCGAGTTTCAGGTAGGTATTCGAGTTTCGGGTAGCTCTTCGAGATTCAGGTTGGTCTTGGAGTTTCGGGTAGGCTTTCGAGGTTCAGGTTGGTCTTCGAGGTTCAGGTAGGTCTCAGGGTTTCGGGAAGGTCTTCGGGTTTCGGGTAGATCTTCGAGATTCAGGTTGGTCTTCGGGTTTGGGGTAGTCTTCGAGTTTCGGATACGTCTTCGAGGTTCGGGTAGATCTTCGAGTTTCGGATAGATCTTCGAGTTTCGGCTTGGTCTTCGGGTTTCTGGTAGGTCTTCCGATTTTGGGTAGGTCTTCGGGTTTCGGGTCGGTCTTCGAGTTTCAGGTAGGTATTCGAGTTTCGGGTAGCTCTTCGAGATTCAGGTTGGTCTTGGAGTTTCGGGTAGGCTTTCGAGGTTCAGGTTGGTCTTCGAGTTTCAGGTAGGTCTCAGGGTTTCTGGAAGGTCTTCGGGTTTCGGGTAGATCTTCGAGATTCAGGTTGGTCTTCGGGTTTCTGGTAGGTCTTCCGATTTCGGGTAGGTCTTCGGGTTTCGGGTCGGTCTTCGAGTTTCAGGTAGGTATTCGAGTTTCGGGTAGCTCTTCGAGATTCAGGTTGGTCTTGGAGTTTCGGGTAGGCTTTCGAGGTTCAGGTTGGTCTTCGAGTTTCGGGTAGGCCTCAGAGGTTCAGGATGGACACCGAGGCTTCTGTTAGATCCCGATGTTCCAGTAGGTCTCCGAGGCACGGGTATAGGTCTCTGTGATGATTTCTCTTATCTCATCGCACGAACTGTAATAGCAGTGAATAGAAGGTATGTACCCGTGACCTACACTGTTAACAGATTACCTCCTCGACTGTTTAATCACACAAACATGTACATTCCTTATGCGACGAAACGACTTGACTCTCAGAATACGCGTGGACCAGCCTAGAACACACGAGCGTAGTGGCACCGGAATCTTTATAACGCTAGACAATCACAGACACCTGAATACTTCAGCGCTCTCGAGCTCCGACTCCAGCGATGCCCCTGCCTCGTGATACCTCTGCTGTCTGTATATGTATGTTCCTCGCGGCTTTAACACATCCACGAAGGGAAAAACAACAGGCGCTTTTACACTTCCTAACATTCGCTGTTTAACATGCAGCATTTATCCGGGATATTAAGTGTTTAAAACTGCATCTGTTTCCTGCACATACTATAGACGATGTCAGTCCAGAACTGAGAATAAACTTTCAAACCAAATCACAATCTAGGTCTTAATTCGGGCAGGTAATTTTTCACCACGAACTCATCTACATAGAGCGTTATCACAAGGGTAGGAATTTATTACGAGAGATCCACAGCCTGTGTATGTTATAATTAACACACTCCAACTGTTGTTTCTCAAGGAAGTACACATGTAAATATGTACCTGTATTATTCTATTATTATTCTAGGCTGAATGTGTTAATCTTGCCTTGTATAGGCTGATAACTTCACACCCATCTGCCACACGGGTGATCCAGAGTCATGACCCGAGATAAGCGTTACCCCGTAGCTGGTCATCGCTGCCGTTATGTCTGCTAAAGCTGTTGCTAGTGACGGCAGGGTTTGACAGTGACATGGTAGCGATAGAGTTTGGTTTATCGCCGCTTTGCACAGCATTTCTGTTACATCACAGTCTACCAGCTTCGTGGGCGGCTTTTATGAGTGAGTAAGTGAGTGAGTGAGTTGGGTTTAACGCTGCTTTTAACAGTATTCCAGTTATATCACGGCGTGTCAGATTAATGGGGGAGGAAAGCCCGAAGTGATGCAGGTCTCAGACGTTTACCACTTCGGTGAAACCCACGAGCACGGGTATGGTGCTGACAAAACTAGAAACATAATCGGGGCGAACCGGGATTCGAACCCACAATCATAGGTTTCTGGCGTGCCCAAGGGACGCAACTCTGCACAGCGAATCGCGGCGCCTTAGACGACTGGGCCACCAGGGCGACCCGACTTTCGTGAAAATCTCGAGATTACTTTTGGTTGTTTTGTTTACTTGTTGTTTAACACCACGGTGATATTTAAGCTATAGGTCTTGACTAGACAATCCAGTGGTCGATATTATGAACAACTTATCATGTCGTTGGGGTACAACCAAGTCTCCGAGCCTGGCTACCCTATCCACTAAGTCGCCTCTTACGACCAGTATAGGTTGTTGAGGATTTAACTCGCAACCAGAAGGGGCATTATGTGGCGTTGATAGACCAACGATCGAATCTGGGAGTAACACCAACGATCAGAATCTAGCAGTAAAACCAGCAGCTGAATTGAATCGAAGCTTACCTCACATGTGTGAATGAAATGAGTAGCCTTTGTAGACAGGAGCTTTAAAACATAAAGATTGAGAGAGCCAGAGATATTAAATATTGAGAAAGAGATATATATTAAATATTGACAAATATAATCTCTCTCTCTCTCACTCTCTATTGAGATAGAGGGAATAAATATTGAGGAGAGACATATAAAATATTGAGAAAGATATTAAATATGGAGAGAGATATTAAATATTGAGCGACAGAGATATCTAATATTGAGTGAGATATACATATATATTAAGAGAGATAGATATTTTTCATATATTAATATTGAGAGAGAGAGAGAGAGAGAGAGAGAGAGAGAGAGAGAGAGAGAGAGAGAGAGAGAGAGAGGAGAGATACCATCCTTCCAATGGTAGCCAAGATGATCTATGGTACCAGACACCAGACCTATTGTACGGACACGCACGGAAACGTACATCATCCGTACAATTATTCTTATGTCAAACACTCCTATGAATTCATACGTCACGAATACTGAAATGTGGTTAGACCAAAGTGCTCACACTCCTGTAGAAAACCAAACAAATATCAACCACCCCAATAAATATACCAGGTTGGCAGCTGATGCCTCGTATTTTATTCCATTGGGTGTGTTTATTTACAATGCATTGCATTTTCTACCAGATGTGTCGTATCAATGATCTAATTGTTGTATATCGTGCAATAAAACGCTCTGACTCGCTCAGAAACTATGTAATAACAGACAGTAGCCATGTATATCAGTATTATCACGCCATCATTACGGCATGACACTATATAAACCGGAAATTCAGCACCGCGTGTTCATTCTTGCGGAGAGTGAAACGGATGCTGTTGGCTTGTGATTGAAACGGCTTCACGAGTCTGAGAGATACTATCACGATGTCGCTGCTGACAGTTCTTGTACTGGTTGCTGTAAGTATTGTATTTTCTTCTTCTGTCAGTTTAGGAAAACTAAATACCTTTTTTAGACACTATACGATCTTTGGCCACGTGGTACTTTAACAGTAGGTATGCCTCTTCAGAGAAAACATTGGTCCGAGTTTGAACCCTGCAGCATGGTACGAATGACCTAGTTGTCAAAGACACCGCGGTTGCTTAATGGCATTGGCAACACCATCCATGATATGATGTAGAGTAAATACCCCAAAGAAGTTAAAGAAAACTGATTCTTTCATATTACTATAGTTTATCTGTCATATAAGTATTCTTGACATCACATCATGAATTGTCTTGTCGAAGCGAAATAACAATTCGAAAAACTTGAAGTCACAATCTGATGAATGTACAAATGAGGTCACGGGGTCTATTAATGGTGAGGTGAGGTGAAATGGGGTTTAACGTCGCGTCCAAGATTATTGCACTTATATAGCGACATGCATGTATGTGTGTGTGTTTGTGTGGCTGCTTGTACTAGTCCGGACTGATGCCGATTTATAGTGCTAGCTCACTGAGATACCATGCCGCAGTTTAACATGAATATCCCACTCAGACACAGTATACTGACTCCGAGCCGACCAGTCCTTGTTTTAGCCCCTTAATGCCGAGCGCCAGACAGGGTAGCAACAAGTACCATCTTTTAACGTCTTTTGGTATGACGCGGCCGGGGATCGAACCCCGGACCTTCCGCTCTCCGGGCGGACGCTCTACCACTAGACCACGGAGGCGGTCGTCTGTTAATGGTATGCTACATGCATTGACGTGTTAACTACATGTAATAAACTATTGCCTGACGTTCCCCTGCCGTGTCCCCAGTAAGTGTAAACAAAGGTCTCTGGTGGGTAAAGGATTATGTAAACAAACATGGCGGCAAAGTATGTGTCGCTATATCATAAATATATATAATTTAGTATTGTATTCATACGCGATTTCAAATACATGAATGATTTCATTGAACGAAACTAGGTCTTACGTGTTCTATTAGTTTATGAATGACATTGTATGACAAATAGATTATTATCACAACCGAAAAAAGTTATGTATAGTGATAAAAAAGGTATTATGCCAGCCTTTGCCGAGCGATATATACTGAACAAAAAACGGTATGTGATCGTAAATATTTTTCGGGATATTTTTGTGACATTGTGTACTCAGTCCTCCCCACAAATGAATTATGAAACATATTCATGATTCACTATTTGTGCAGTATATATCACTCCGCAAAGGCTCGCATGTTAAAATTTTTATTCCTGAAATATATTAACGATACGGAAACATATTCAGCTAATAGTCTGTATATATCTGTAAATTGTTTGTTTTTTAAAAAGGGGATACTGAGCTAAAACGTTCATGAAACACTGAAATGACGTTTACACTTTGCTGACCACGGTGCTATGGATGCTGTGTTATCTATATCTATAGGTGTGGGGAGTAGGTGGGTTCAAGAATATGAAAAGTGGTCAGGTAATTTTGACCCTCGTGTTGTACATGATGAATTTTGCGGAGCTTAGATTAAAGTGAAGTCGCTGCCCGAGTTCTATCGAGCTACGACATGTACACTGAAGGACCCACGACCGACTCAACAATAAGAAAATGTACGAAAAGTATCGGTTTTATCCGAAAAACACTTGAAGTCAAGAAACTATAAACATGACGAAATTCCTCGTCACTTCACCGTTGGCAATATTGTAAACACCGAGGGCATATGGCCGTTAAGCTTCATGCTATCCAGACAGGAACTAGCCACTTCGTGTACCGTAAATATTTCATAACATACACTGATGAACAAAACATTAAACGATATCTGGTTTATGTCAACACATAAAAATATTAGCAGTTAGGTAATGTTTGAACATTTAGTTTAGTTATATTTAGTTATGTTATATTTAAATCTCTAGAGAACCAGTTATTATCTCGAGTAGCGTGTGCCAAACGTAGTTCTTAAAGATAATACATTGTATCTCTGTCCGTGTGAACAAGATACGAAAGCCTGCACTGAGACTATAGCTAGATTCTGGGCTACTTTATCAAGATACTTAGAAGTCAGGCTACTTTACCAAGATACTTAGAAGTCAGGCTACTTTATCAAGATACTTAAAGGTCAGGCTACTTTATCAAGATACTTAGAAGTCAGGCTACTTTATCAAGATACTTAAAGGTCAGGCTACTTTATCAAGATACTTAGAAGTCAGGCTACTTTATCAAGATACTTAAAGGTCAGGCTACTTTATCAAGATACTTAAAGGTCAGGCTACTTTATCAAGATACTTAGAAGTCAGGCTACTTTATCAAGATACTTAGAAGTCAGGCTACTTTATCAAGATACTTAAAGGTCAGGCTACTTTATCAAGATACTTAGAAGTCAGGCTACTTTATCAAGATACTTAGAAGTCAGGCTACTTTATCAAGATACTTAAAGGTCAGGCTACTTTATCAAGATACTTAAAGGTCAGGCTACTTTATCAAGATACTTAGAAGTCAGGCTACTTTATCAAGATACTTCGAAGTCAGGCTACTTTATCAAGATACTTAGAAGTCAGGCTACTTTATCAAGATACTTCGAAGTCAGGCTACTTTATCAAGATACTTAGAAGTCAGGCTACTTTATCAAGATACTTAGAAGTCAGGCTACTTTATCAAGATACTTAAAGGTCAGGCTACTTTATCAAGATACTTAAAGGTCAGGCTACTTTATCAAGATACTTAGAAGTCAGGCTACTTTATCAAGATACTTAAAGGTCAGGCTACTTTCTCAAGATACTTAAAGGTCAGGCTACTTTATCAAGATACTTAGAAGTCAGGCTACTTTATCAAGATACTTAAAAGTCAGGCTACTTTATCAAGATACTTCGAAGTCAGGCTACTTTATCAAGATACTTAGAAGTCAGGCTACTTTATCAAGATACTTAGAAGTCAGGCTACTTTATCAAGATACTTAGAAGTCAGGCTACTTTATCAAGATACTTAAAAGTCAGGCTACTTTATCAAGATACTTAAAGGTCAGGCTACTTTATCAAGATACTTAGAAGTCAGGCAACTTTATCAAGATACTTAGAAGTCAGGCTACTTTATCAAGATACTTAAAGGTCAGGCTACTTTATCAAGATACTTAGAAGTCAGGCTACTTTATCAAGATACTTAGAAGTCAGGCTACTTTATCAAGATACTTAGAAGTCAGGCTACTTTATCAAGATACTTAGAAGTCAGGCTACTTTATCAAGATACTTAAAGGTCAGGCTACTTCATCAAGAAACTTAGAAGTCAGGCTACTTTATCAAGATACTTAAAGGTCAGGCTACTTTATCAAGATACTTA